TATATGTATATATTATAATTTATTAATAATAAAATAACTCATGAAGTATAAAAAACTTAACGCATATACAATATAAATTATACTTTGGGTAAATAAACAGGCATCAAAAGGTTGCGCAATTTCACTATTCTCCGTTGCTATGGTTAAATTTAATATTTTTTTCCAGACTAGTACGTTTTAGTAAGAAGTGAGGAAAAGTAAGAATAGCTGAAACCATGGTAACGGAAAGGGGAACATGTGGAGTTATGAAAAATCATGTAACCTTGAGACACTTATACTATTAACAAATTGTATGAATACTAATTAAATATCGCTATCAAACTTTCAAATAAACATTGAAACATTACTACTTGTATTACATATGAAATTTTTTCTAAGGGAAGCACTTTTAGTCTTAATGTGGACCTGTAAACGTGCTACATTTTCTGCTATAGGCCTCATTTAATCGTAAATCCATTCCGTTTTAATAACTCTTTCCTTTATAGTAATTCGTCATATTTTAAAAATTAGTTTACTTTTACCTCTATTAACGCAAGGTGTCACAGAGATCCGATTTTTGAGAGGAACGCAATTTATTTTTCTAAATTTGGCATTTAACAAAAAACTAATGTGCTAAATACGGGCAAAAACTTTTTTAGCTCTTTCTTGTTTCTCGTACTTTAAGGATGGCAATTGGTGAAAAAAATTTTTTTTGGTTGAAATTGTGTCTGGAATTTTGTCTGAAATTTTGACCGAAGAGATTTTTAATTATTATGAGGGGTATATATACCAATCGTCCCCTCATCAATGACTGACATGATTAGATATTTGTTATCGAGCTTAACATTTGTCAAATATTCTACATGTATGCAAAAACGATAATTACGAAATACCCCACGCTCGGGATGTTCCGTAATCTCCGCTCTTAATATAACCGAAGCACATCCGGAAAGTAAGATCTTTCTGCAGTGTTGTGCAACTATTTATGAGCAGAAATATGACGTTGACAAATAATAAATTTCTGCATTCTTAACTTATAATTCCTACTATGTCCTATTTACCCCACTTATTTCTGTTTTAGAAACACTAATTATTCCAATCTGTTATAGATATCTGAATTTATGAGAGAAAAACGAGGTTTTGTAACGCATTTCCGTTTATTTTTTGGATCTTGTTTACCATCTTCTTGCAGTGATCAGGACATTCATAATCTGGTCTCAAAAGGTATAAAACAGTTTTCTTTTTATATTATGTGGGCATTGAAATCCGTTTCTTTGATTTGGTCGTAGTTTAAAGATGAAATTAACTTGTAAGTTATCGCGACCTACATAAAAAATACTTAAAACTTATGTAACAGTTACACGATATCGAACAATTATGTAACTGAAACTTACGTATAATTACATACAACTTACCTTTAATTATACTTTCGTTAGGCTCTATATAACTATTGGATAAATTGTAAGATTTTTCTTAATTATTTACAACTTTTCTACAATAAACTACAACTTACCTGACAATTAACAATCATATACTTAACGCTTGTCTAATAACTAAAAATTTACAGAAATGTGAAATTCCTGTTATATTCAAAATTTCGAAACTTCATCAGTCTTTATTTTACTTTCAATTTTCTTATCAATTAAAAATTGGTAGCCTACTGAGTCTGTTTTTTTATCGACTTTTACAACTCAATGCTTTTGGTCAATTTTCATTCCGAGGACGTAAAATATCCTCGGTGGTAAAAGGATCATGGGTTAAAGTCCTCTTTCAGTCAGGCTAACCTTGGGAGATTTTCGTAGTTTTCCTCTCCATGTAACGCAAATACGGATTAGTTCCATAAAAAAAGTCCTCCATGAAAGCAAATTTCGCCGAAAACTTAATCCAGGAGTACCCTTGTGTTCTGGATTGGGTTAAAAATTACAAGGCTACGGAGTTGAACATTAGTCGTTGTTAACCCGAAATTCGGCCGATCGTTCAACGACGGTTATAAAATATGAAATATTGTCCTAGAATAGCTTATATAGGGACTATATTTCCTAAATAATATACATAATATATCGTGAAACAGACAATTCTATATATAGGGCCGATATCGGTTGTTAAGTAGCTGTAAAATATAGGGTGTGAATCGAACTATTTTATATAAAACTTTTTTCGAAAAAATAACGCCCTTTGAACCCTTATTAAGCCAAAAGATTCGTGAATATTGTTCTGATGAAGACCCAAGTTATTTTGCTGCTAAGAATGGTTTAAAACACATCAAAATAATAAGTTTTGCGAACGAATAAGGGTTTTGATTGTTTAGACGCATTTCATCTTGCATAAAAATGACGCTTTTTGATGCCTTTTAACTGCCCATTGCTCGGTGGAAGAAAAATATCAACAGAAATGCAATTTCGGTTAATGGAGAAATCTTCAATGAGAAATTTTCTAAGATTATTTTGTTTTGCTTTTTTAAAACAAGTTGCGAAATCAGACACTCATTTTAATGCTGAGTATAGCAAATAAAGAATACAATCCACGCAATTTTTTTCTCCAACAATTCAACAATTTTTAACGAAAAGATATTATTGTTACGGTGAAATTTCATCAAATTCTACTCAATCGCTAGATAACTGCGAATATTTGTGCGACGTTTTCAGATTCTCGTCATGCAATGGTAATTGTGATGCCACAATCTATGCAATGGATTTGTTCATTTCCCCCGTGCATCGTAGAATATCGTCTGTGAACTTTATTGTTTGTGTATGGTTCAAACCAAGTGTTTCAAAAACTAAGTATAACTTATAATGTGGGTTTTAAAAAATGAGCTTAATCGCAAAACACTTATTTAATCAATGGGCATAATTTTTAATGCGTATTTGAAAATTGTATATGACCAGGGGCGGATCTACTTAAGGGCATTTTGGGCTGCAGCCCAGGGCCCCGTGGATACAAAGGGCCCCAGTCCCCACTGAAAACAATCGGTGATATTTTGAATTTAAAAAAATATCTAATATTAAAAAAAAAAACTATTATAAGGATGGCAACCCTGAGATCAATCAACCCATAAATGTGCGCGTCTATCGAACGGAACGGGGAATTACCAGTCGCTTGTTTTTGGTCAGTGTATTTTTTCGCGTCTATTACGGGGGGCTTCCCGCAGCGCCGCATGACGCCCGACGTAATTTTTTTCCCGCACTTCTGTTCTCGTCGTCAAAGTGTCAAACTTGTTAAGTTTACTAATAACTGTCTTGACTACCAGCAACCCTCTCATCCTACTGAAAACTATATTGGTGTTCAGCAAGAGGACGGTAATACCGAGGCGGAAAGAAATTTAGAGAATATTAAGTTTGAGAAATATGTTGACGTGGGCTTGTGGTCAGAATTGCTAAATAATGATTTTATTAATGACATACTCTCACATGAAATGACTGACTTTCAAAATAAAGATCCGAAAAATATATATTCAGCTTCAATAAAGAAATGCAAAGAACAAAACAGAACATTTTCAAATAGGTATTTCATTAAGAAAATGAAAAATGGTCAATCATTGGAAAGATCTTGGTTATGTTATTCAATCAGGGTTGGTACTGTTTTTTGTTTGACTTGCAAACTTTTTTCTAAAATTTCTTCTCAATACACAACCGGATTTTCTGATTGGAAACACATAGGAACTTGTTTAGAAAATCATGAAAATTCTAATGAATATAAGAAATCAATGTTAGTGTGGTTGACACGTGAAGGCAACAAGTTATTTGTGAAGGCAACAAATTAATTGTATCATTAAAAGACCTCGTGAAAAACATAAGGCACCAATCAGATCAGAAGCTAAAGGAATACGGAGAGAAAGCTAAAGAATTAAGTACTAGTGTGGGAATAGACTACAATGACATAAACAAGAGACGCATTACTCCAAAATTTTCAGATAAGTCTACAGATAAATTCTCAGTATACGGAGCAGAAAAATTTAAAAGAGACACTTTAAACGTTGCGTTGGATAAGCTGATTATGGATTTAAATAAAAGGAGTCAAGTCTATGAGATGTATAACAAGAAATTCAAATTTTTAATGGATTTGCAAGACAAAAATATGGAAATCTGGAAAGTGTACGTAATAATGTTGATTATTATCCAGATGACGTAGACGAGCATTTAGTGAATGAGTGCATTAAGTTAAAATCTTATTTACTTCAGTCTAAGCCTGAGTCTTCTTGCACCTCTTGCAGTGAAATTTTCATGTTAATTTATGAAGAGAAATTTGTTGATGTTTTCTACACTATCATTCTATGATGTTTCTATGCTGCACTATCTTAAGGATTTTTTTAACTTTGCCAATCACCAGCTGTGAAGCTGAGCGCTCTTTCTACAGGATGTCATACATAGAAAACAAATATAGGACAACAACGTCGAACCATCGACTAAATCATTTATTAGTTCTTTCCATAAATTGTGATTTAACGAAGGACTTATAATGTGCTGAACAAATAAAGGAATTTGCACCACAAAAATGCAGAAAGGTTGCTTTATAATTTATATAACATAACTACACCTAATCTGTCAATTTCTTTTGCAATAATGTTGTACAGTTGATGTTTGTATGGACAAATAAAAATAAATAATTAAAAAAAATTTATAAAATTATTTTATTGTCCTATTTTTTTCTATATACTTATCTACATCACTATAGAAAACAGTTTTTTTGACAAAATGGCTATTAGGGCCCTAAAGTAGTTTCAGCCCAGGGCCCCACAAATTCACGATCAGCCCATGTATATGACACAAAATCCGCGTTTAGTAAAATGCATTGCATTTGAATCAGTTTATAAACAACAATTATGACTATAGAATTATAACAATGAAGCACATTTGGTTTAATTTTCTTTCATAATCAGTGTTGAATAACCGACCCTATTCTGAGTTTACGACTATCAATGTTTTTAGATCTGTCACATGGGGAGGAAAACCACGAATACCTCCCACGGTTAGCCAGACAGCAAGGGGATTCTAACCCAAGATCCATTTACCATTGAGAGTATTTTACGCCAGCACTTTGGTCGGTGCGAGTCATGGACAGAATTCGTTTCAGACATCAATCGTTGGGATTCGAACCAGGGTTACTTTACACGGACTCTATTTCCTTAGCCACCATTGCTCAGTTTGGTTTTATTTTTATTTTTATTTTATAACCGTCGTTGAACAGCCGACCCAATTTCATGGGTTTACGACTACTTACGTTCAACTCCGTAGCCTTGTAATTTTGAACCAATCCAGAAGACAAGGAAACTCCTGGATCAGTACCCCCAGAGGTATTGATTTGTTGTGGGAACATGGAGGACTTTGAGACTCGGCAGATTTAACGTGCACCAGTCACCATTTACTACACGGGGAGTCAAAGTCACATTGGAGGTACACTAATGGGCTATTGGTGACGGGTTTAGGATTCATCCTTGATGATAGACACTATGAAGCATTACGTACATTACGCAATCATAAATAGAAAAAAGGACAAATGATAGTAATCATCCACCTCTGGATCACACTCCCCATTAACCCGACACCGACCGAGCTTTTCCTGGTCTAAAACTACTTAGAACAATATTATAAAATAGATTCGGAAACAGATCTACTACGACTTAATCGAAAAAAGAACAGTCCGAGCATTGCTCTGACTGTCTCAATGTTAATAAGCTATCTCCAGTTACATTAAAAATAGTTTGGTTGTAGCCGTCTAGTATGCAAAATGAGAAATGAAAAAAATTCTGGGCACAAGAGAGGGATATATTTAAACCTTTTTGGTGGATTACTTTTGAATGGTCTAGCCCGGAAATAGAGCCGGTCACGAGAAATAGAGGCGAAAGCTCAACCTTTGTTTCGAGGGGAGCGAGAGGGAAAGGGTTAAGAAAATATTGTTCACGAGTTTTAAATATCAACACTATTGTATTATGCTGTATCTTTGATAAACGTTTTTTGATAAACATTGAACTTAGCAGCGTGCAGAATATAGTAGTAAATTCATATTTATGTATGTTCTAGTCACGGAACCCTGGACTTCAAATATTGTGGTGTCAGACTGTCAAACAGATCAACCAAGAGAGTGGACTACTTCTGGTATCATTGCGCTGTAAGTTGTACCTCGTAAACAAAATAATATTTTTCCATTATATTATACGCATTATTATTATAGAAATTCTTAGACGATTTTCTTAATGTCGTAACACGGCATTAATAATTGTCGTAATTATTAATGCCTATAATTTCGGGATCTTGTGCTTTGGGTCCGCGAATTGCCTTGTGCCCTCGCGCCGTGCGGGGTTCCTCGTCACGGCTATTTTTGTCTGATGGGCCTCATGGCTTGGGTAGAGGTATTAATATCCTTAATTTCAATGTAATGTTCCATATGTAGTTTCGCTAAACCTTTCACGCATTAACTTATGCGTTATTACTCTTTGTATTCATTCGATTCTAAAACGATTGCATTTGAAATAACCTTCTGTTGTGGTGCGTTAAGTTTCACGACATTAAATATATTAGATTACTTTTAATAAATATGAGACCATATACGTATTTAAAAAAATAAGTCTTATAAGCTACCGATTGTTCATCTTAACTGTGTTTCTTTTATAATTTTTTTATAAATAGAAATTTATTCGATATCTTTCCGCAGTCTTTGAATGCTCATTAAAAAATAACAAAGCGAATGGGGTTTTTTTTTTAGAAAAAATATTATTGATTAAATTTTATTCTTGATTCTTTTACTTGCATTTGGTTTTCCATTTATTTAAAAGGATCATAAGACTTCTACGTTTCAGCATTTTATTCCACAGTGATCAGACCAGCAGATCAATAACTTTGTGTTACTTCAGATTTAAAAAAATAATGAATAAAAATAAAATAAAAAATAGATGAACTACACTATAATACCCTCAAAGAGTTGAAAAATGCAATTTACATGAAAAATACAATTTACATGAAAAATACATGAAAAATATAATTTACAAACATACATGATACATACATGAAAAATACATACATGAAAATACATACATGAACATACATACATGAAAAATAAAACATACATGAAAAATATAATTTACAGTGACAGAAAACTAAAGCCAAAACTACTATAAAAAATTGAATAGAACGAAAAAGCACTTTCACCATTTATATATTTTTTTAGTTATTTATGTATAGTTGTGGACAAAACTCTTTCGATTCTAATTCGCATTAGAAAAAATATTTTCTAAAGCAACCAAAATTCTGTTTTAGTTGATAAATCTCTATTTTTTTCTTCTTTTCTAAAATTGCAGAACAAAACATAGTAAAAATTTACTGTGTTTTACAAAATGAAAATTATAGCGGAAACCTCTAATCCAAAAATTATTTCAAGTAATTAAATCTGCTATAACACTATATTTAAACACAGAATGAACAAATTTTAATGCGCTATTCACAAGCATATAGTAACAATAATCTTTTCCCTTTATTATAGAACTGTTCCACTTCTATAAGTTTGTTATTTTTCTTTATTTAAGGTGCATTTTGCTGGCATTATTTGGTATTTGCATTTTGGGAACTGTTTTGGATTCACATGACAAAAACAGAATGGCTGTATCCAAATATTCCACACCAACTAAAGAGTGTAAACATGCTTTTATTTTAATTTTATTATCGTTTCTTCAAATTATTTAAATTATATTTCAATAGATTGTACTATATTCCATTCTTGCACACCGCTCGAAATCAATAAATCCACAAGTTTAACATGATGACTTTTAATTATATTTCTTTACGATCGAAAAAAATTTATAAAGTTTGTTAACCAAAATTATACACGGTACGTGTAAAAATATATTTATTGCAGTATACACTTACCAACTTAACGGTTTCTGTATTGTTTATGGTTTGCCTGAGACATATTTTTCTAAGCTTAATTTTGAATACGTAACAGAAAAGACAACTATTTGCAAAAAAAGAAGAGACAATCTACGTAATGTATAAAATGTCCATTAGGTGGAATAAATTATAACAGGCTTAAAAAGGGCTAATTTTTACCACCGTATCATTTTGTTGATCAAAAAATGTATACAAGATAGCACACTGTTAGAATTTTTTCGAAAAAAATTTATTAAATAACAATTTACTTAATTGTTATTTTACCGTATTCAAACAAAACAGTCAAATAACCATAAATAAGATGGTAATAAAACTGTAAAAGAAACAAGTTTATTAACTGCTTTTGCTTCATACGGTTAAACAACCAGAATTTTATCTCACTAAGCTCCTCTAATGAAGCCACATAGCTTCCTGCAACTACGTACATATTATAGCCGAGAGAGCTAATATGCCAGTCTATGACCGACTGAACTGGGGTTTAAATCCCAGCGTAGACGCCAGAATATTTCCACTAATACCTTCAACACATGAAGAGTTTCCAGTGTCCTGTAATCTCCAATGCCCATTACACAACAAAACGCATAGCTTTTTTGCCCAGTTAAATATCATTTTTTACGGTTTTGAAATCATGCTAGTTGTAAATGGTTAAAAACAGCATAATGTTGTGTTTATGGTTTCATAACCATACTAGTTGTAAGCGGTTTCAAAATCGTAAAGGTAAAAATTTTTTTTTATTGTAAACTTTACGGTTAATCGGATGAGCTGACTGCTGCCGGTTATTTTACCATAATTTTTAGAATGAAAACTCTAACAGTGTATTATAAGTCAGTACATATTTTCGAAAATTAAATGCTATTCATTTCAGCAACAACATGTTTGTTCACCCAAGCAACAAATGATAGTTCTGGTTTTTCAGAATTAAAAAGCAAACCAAAAAGTGGTTTTCCTTTTTTTTCATTGTTTCTTCTTTTTCTTGTAGTATTTTGTTAAAAATATTATGTTTATTTTGACTAATATTATTTTGAGAGGACTATTTATAATGTTTGTTATATTTTTTGAATATGTACGATAACAGAACTTAAGTCTTTCAGTATTCTGTAGTATGGTATTGCCATTTATAATACGTTTTGTATTTTTGAATATGTAAGATAACAGAACATAAATGTTTCAGCATTTTGGAGAAAAAGCTTGAAATCATTTTCCTTACCTGCAAATTCAGCAAAAGTATTCGAACCGAAGAAAGGAAAGCATTTCTTGGACTGTATCGACGGTATTCGTTTCTTCTTATCCATATGGGTTATAATTTCTCATATCGCACTATATGAGGAGCGGTGGAAAGAACGTAAATATAGTAAGTACATAACCATGAATAAGAATAAATTTTTTGGAAGAAATTTTAATCGCATGTGGCTTCTGTCAAAACAAGTTTTGATAGCTTTAATATTACAACAATTAACTATTTTCGCATGAGTTATGGGACATGGAAAAAAATCTTCTTCTTCTTCAGCACGACAGCCCCTTACAGACCTTGACTGCCTCAACTACACGTAGCCTCCAACGCCTCCAGTCCATGGCGACTTTTTTGCAGTTGTTTATCTTTAATATTTTTAGATCTGTAGCAGTGTCATCCAGCCATTTAGTTGGAGGTCTTTCTCTAGCCTGAGATCCCAAAGGATTTTTAAAGGTGGCGATTCGGACTGCATTATTTTCTGAACTTCTCCAGATATGGCCAAGCCATCTTAATCTATTGCTGTGGATGACCTGCACCATCTGTGGCTGTCCATAGAGTCTATATAATTCAAAGTTGTATCTGATTCGCCAACAGCCTCTTTCCTGTACTGGGCCAAAAATATTTCTAAGGATTTTCCTTTCAAAAACACCAAGAGTACGCTGAGTGTCTGCGTTTAGTGTCCATGTTTCACTTGCATAGAGCAATACAGGTTGAATAAGAGTCTCATGAATTTTAATTTTAGTTTTTCGACTGATTAGGCTTGATCTTAATTGCTTTCTTAGTCCAAAGAAGGACTTGTTTGCCATTTTAATTCTGTTGCCTACTTCTGTTTTTATGCTGTTTTGGTCATTGATCATTTTTCCAAGGTATTTGAATTCATTAACCTTTTCAAAGGTGTAACCATTTATGAATAAAGGATCATGAGGGAAAAAATCTACACACAAGAAATTTCAAGTAATAATTTATAATAGTTTATTCAAAGAAATGAATAATTGGCACAGTGTAAAACTTAATCAGAACTCATCTGAATAATAAACCTTTCAGAAAATTTTACTAAAAAAGTTTCTGTTGTTCTAAATTACAAAATTAATTTTTGAGACTTAAATGTGATTTATGACTTCATGTTTTATTTCAAACTCTCATTGTATCGATTTAAAAAAATTGGCAGTTGCAAAAAGCATATCCCTAACGTAAAAGGGGTATTCATGGGAATAAAATATCACTTCTCTAATTTCTTATAATTGTCAGACGCCCCAGAAAAAGATGATTTAAAGAGGTAGGAAGACATCTGAAAAAAAAAGAACGAAAAATCAAACATTGGAGGATAATGGCTAAGGACCAAAAAAAGTGGAGGTGTGTGGTAAAGGAGACAAAGGTCCTTCATGGACTGCAGAGCCGAGGAGTAGTAGTAGTAGCAATTTCTTATAATCACTTTTTGAACATCTTTATACTATTTTGTTCAAAAATGTATTCGTATGAACTTGGGTAAATTCTTTATAGCGTTTTTGTGTTATTTTCGTAGATATTGCTTGCTTGTAAATTTCTTTTTTGTATAAATATATTTTCATAATCATGTCTGATATACGGAAAAATGTCTTTGTTTTCTTTCAGATTCCGGTTACAACATTATGTCCATCTTTAATGCTCTGACAATTTTCATTGAAAATGCTCACATAAATATGGAAAACTTCAGCGTAATCAGGTAACGTATTTACTTAAAATTAATCAAATAACAAAAGTTTGAACCACGGTATCATGGTTAATGATGTTCAATGCTTTTTTATACCATCAAGCTTGAAAATTAAAATGAAAACTATTAAACTTATTTTCATAAATTAAGGATAATGACCTGCTCTGGAAAATAAAGGTTCTGAAACGAAACAAATGTGACTAATTCATGAAACTCATTTAATAAACGAAAGATAATAAAAAAGAAAGATGATAATGGATGATGCCATTCATAAAAACTATGATTTTTGCGTCCATCAGCCATTATAAATAATATCTCCGTCACAAAAACTTAATATTACATGGTTAGTATGATGGTTAATACATTGTATACCACCCATGAAATGAAATACAGCCCGTACAATGTCTAAGCATGCTGAGTAACAAAATATTGATCCGGTCTAGGGGAAGATTACTTCACTCACCAAGCAACACTCTTCGTAGATCTGGTATACTTATAGAGGTTGTTGATGAGCTGTAACTTTTCAGCCAAGCATGCCCCTCAGAAGAACGATCAGAATCAAGTCAGGTGAGAGTGCTGGCCATTCCATACGAATGATATCATCACATTGAAGGTATTCGTTTAAGATGCTTGCTCGGTAAGGACGAGCATTGTCATCAAACACGAATTCTGTGCCATGGCACCCCTAAACAAACGTATATGCTGTTCCAGAATGGCAACCCGATAAATTTGGCCTGTCATGGTTCCGATTTGATGGCGATCTGTTCTAGAGCCCAGTATATCTTCACCCCAAGATAGATCACATCACCCCAAGAGGATTCACATCACGAGGAATCCTGCAATGGTGTGATTGAATGATGTTGTTTTTGTGGTCACTGGACTTCTTCATATAAGAGTCCGATGCGAATCAGACTGCAAGCTAAACCTGTACTCGTCGGAAAACTTAACACAAGTCCATTGTGACGATGTCTACATTACTTGTTCTCTAATCCGGACGAATCGCTGCGGACAGTGAGTTGAAGTGAGCGAAACACATCCGATAAACCAACGAACATATATTTATGCACAGTTTGCCTTGAAACTGTGATTCCCGTCACTGCTGATAGCTGACAAGACAGATCGGATGTTATGCTCTGTCTGCTTCTTTCGACAGTTACTTTAAATAGCGCCCTTCATTCGGCATTGTAACTCAGGGCAACCAGTACTGTGATGACTACTGACATCTCCATCACCTGGGAGTTGCCAGGACTAAGAGATTGTACTTTGGTCATTTCCAAGTTTTTCGGATACTTCTGAATACGCCCACAATCCAGACGGTGGATGATTCTACCTCGTAAAGGATCATCCACATGCATCCGATGTGTTATGACTATTCGGTTGTGGCACGCTGATCGGCTAACAGAACGCTTGCGAACAATTTTACTTCTTTGCACCACTTTTTTAGAACCTCTTTCTTGTCATCAAGATGTACTGTCAGTGTCATCTGGCGGCTTCCTGTAATTTTTATATTATTCTTATAAATGTGTGTGAAAATTCTACAAGGGACATTTTTGCTTTGCAGTTAACTTCCGCGTGATTCTGAATTTTTCCCAGTTTATGAACATAAATGTAATTCAAAACTTTCGAAAAAAAACTTTGGTAGTCGTGGAAAATTAATTATTCGATAAACAATGAAAATATTCCATGAGTTTTAATTTTTTTTTAAAGAAAAGGTTTTTAATGTTTAGTTTAATAGTGTAACAGGTTAAGAATAGTTTTCCAAAGTTTATAGTCAATCGAGTAAGACTCTATCAGAGAAAGCATTTAGAATTTCCTGCCACTTAGCACGGCCAAGTTAAACTAGATCAGTTAAAATTCAGTATTTGATTCAGTCGGAGACCAAAATAGATTATACTTTACTTGTGCATTTTTCTACCATTATATTATTTTTAAAATGTTATATTACTTTCTTTTTTCGTAACTGACTGTAAATCTGTTTCCAGCATTTTATATTCCAAAATTGAGACTTCCTAAAAAGAAATAATGAATTAATCTTAAAAATAATCAATAATTTGACAGTAAGCTATATGACTTGTATCCCATGTTCTCTGTAATTATCCAAAAATTACAGTTTTCTTAGTATTTTTATTATAGTCTCCACATTTTCGTTCTTCAGATAAATGCGGGTTGCTTTAGCTTCCGGAATCCTAATGATTTTTTGTCCTTTCGTTCAACTCCTTTTTTCTTATGGCAATAGACTTAGTTTATAACACCATTCAATTTCATTAAACTATATGTGAAACGAATTTTGTGTTCGGTTCTGGTATTATTAAACTTTACGTGCAACTTATAAACTAGTTTCTCTGTATTATTAAATGTATTTCTGAAAGTAGAGTTCCTTGAAAGCAAACTGTAGGAAAGATTTTGAAGGTAGACATTTAGTAAAAATGCATAAATTATTTCCCAGTTAATAATTAGAATTTCTTTATTTAAATAAAATTTTGTAATAGAGTAATTTTTCCGCTTTTTAGTGGATTTTTTCTGGTATATAGTATAAAGAAGAAAATGGATAAGAATGGAGGTAAAATTGATTTCATGGAAACTATTGCTCAGAAAATTTGGAGGTAAAATCAAAAAGTATTTCATCAATAATCAATATTTTTTTAGTATATATGTTAAAAGTCCTTATCAAAAATGTTGTCCAAAATATATAAACAGTGTCGTTCTAAGATTAATGTTTAAGCGAAGCAAATAAAAAGTTAAGTGTTGTAAAAGTTGAAGCGAGATTAAAGGCATAAAAACATGTTTAGTTGCCTAAGAAAATTCGAAGGATATGAAGGCAATTATAAGAAACACTCTCAAGATTTACCCATTATTCAAACTAGTTAATATACATATTTTTAAAAAAAAAACACTTTCTAAAAAATGGATCAGAATTTTGCATTTTTGTTTTATGCTTGTTTAAAACTTATTTTGCGAGTCTGAATGAGTGATTTTTTTATCAACATATTTGATAAGGATATAAAAAATAAGTATAAAAGGTTCTGATTAAAAAACAGCTTGTATTTTTATACAGGGAGTCTCGAAAGTTCTGGGAATATACATCGGTCCAAAGAAAAACGAAACACACTTTTAATATTTTACAAAGAAACTCTCCAATGACATCAAATGCATTCATGATATCCTAGTTGGTAGGACGATGAGCTCGTGTTCGTGAGAACGTGAGTTCAAATTCCGCCTTTCGAGGAGTAAATTTTGACTGGTGTACGTTAAATCTGTAGGGGTCATAAAGTCCTCCAGGTTCCCGTAACAAATCAATTCCTCTGGAAGTACTGAATTAGAGAGTGATATTTCACTGGTTCAGATTAAAATTACGATCTGTGAATGAATAAATGGGAGTATGAGTGGGTCCTCCTTGTAAAACGGCAGTGACGTGTGTGTGGCTGAAGTCGTATTCTTAGGCATAGATGGCGCCACTGAAAAAAACACGAAACGCTCTCTTTGCCTTAAAAATGCGCTTGATGGTATTAACCAGTGGCATAAGTAACAACAAAAAACGTTATTGGCTAACCCCAACCCCTGGAGATAGAAGGGGGCGGCGAAATCTTAAAAAAAAACCTTCCTTTTCTACTATAGATTCGGATTTTTTTAATAAAAATAAATAAAAGAAAAAGCAATCCGATTCAACCCACAGGTTTCACCAGTGATGGTGCTTTAATCACTAAATAAAATTCAAAACAGATCAAAACAACATAAATAGACGTGTCTGATGTTTGAAAAAGTATATCTAATGACACCAATTTTAACCCATCCCACAATTCTATAGTCACTCCAACCTCAAGCGGAGGGTTGACGTTGAGTTCCTAGTCAGAAGATGAGTATTAAAAAATATGAAGCTTATAAACTTTCTGACCTCACAAGTATATCCCACAGTAACTCCTTTTTAAGCAATTTCAATTAGCTATTAACCCTATTATTACTTAGCTTTCTCAGTGCCATCTAGGAACTAAAAGTTTTGACACTGTAGGGATTTAATTATCGACTATGTCAACCTTCATCTATCAAAAGGTACCTCACGATAGAATCAAGTTAANATGTCTTATATACTAGTGATTTGGTATTTAATATTTGTAGTGGTAGTTATGCCACATTACTCCCCTTCCAGAATTTTATCTGTGATAGAATTCGATGAATGAATACCACTAGTTGAATCATGCTGTTATTCATTTTCATCAATTTTGCTCATTATATTTGCACGTTTTATTCTATTTTTTATAGCATTTCGCTCATTATTTTTCTTCTTCATTTTTTTGTTTTATAGCATTTTGCTCATTTTATTTCTTTCTTCAATATTGTTTATTGACCGGGAAGCTTCATTTACTTCACCGGATTTTTTTATTTTTATTTATATCATTTCGCTCATTTGTTTTCATTATTTTTTGTTTATTGCATTCTGCTCATTATTGTATATAACCGGTTGACTTTATTCAATTCACCGGATATTTTTTTTCTTCTTTGAGTAGTATATTTTAAAGCAAATCAACTGTTTAATGCGGACCATCCATCAATATTGGCAAGTTCTTATCACATCCGGAGGTCACCAATGAGGGGAATTAATTTATCGACTATGTCAACCTATCAAAAGGTACCTCAAGACAGAATCAAGCTAACATGTCTTATATACTAGTGAATTAGTATTTAATATTTATAGTGGTAGTTACGCCACAAATCTGTAGGTCATATCTGAGTACTTATTTTTCGGAAAATTCAAATCCGGAGTAAAGCATGGAGAGTCGTGAGTAAGATTTCAATATTGCTACCACTAGAAGGTGAGAGTGCGTTAAGTCCGAAAACATTGGCATTGCTACTAGCTTTTACTTTTTTTGTTAAAACTTTTTTCATAGTGGTAGTTGAAGTGCTGAATTTTAGTATTATGCTTATTAGCAACTTATTCAATTTTGTCAGGCTTTTACACATTTAAGGCGTAATATTTAGTATTCTTATGTATGTTTTTACTAAATTATATATGTAGTGATAGTTAAAAAAGCTTTAAACCGAATTTTTCAAACCTAGAGTAATATATTAAAATTTTAAATTGGCTACCGCTAGAAAATATCGTTTGTAAAAATTATAAAAATTATCGGGCATGCATTGGATGGCTTTTTGTAAAATCTTGAGCACATGATTTGTTTTATACAAAATGCTGGGAATATTTTACCATAACAAAATTTCCCCATGTACCACAGGTTTTATTCTATTTGTAGATTTTTTTCTGTTAACCTTATTGAAATTTCCATGTGTATTAGAAACCATGATAAAGATGCATATTAGATGGATGTTAAAGTAATTCATAAATCTGAATAAATTCATAAACTGAAATATATTAGCGATTTCAAAAATAAATAAATAAATAAATGTTTAAATAAATAAATAAAAATAAAATGTCAAATAGTCTTTTGTTTCAGATATTTTTTTAAAATTCATTTAGAAATTTTTAAACATATACTTTTGAATGCTGCTACTTATGACTGCTCACTCGCTTTTTATTTTAGTTCCCAGTTTCCCTACAAAATAAGGAATTCCATCGGTTTTTAAGGAACTACGCACATACGCATTAATGTTTTACGTAAAACTATGGGGCTGCTATCAATAACTCCCAAAAACGTGATTTGAAGTTAACCTAGCTGCAAGGGACTTTGCAAGCATTTAGAATTAGAGAACTTTTTCCTGCTCTTAGTACTTCACATAATAATTTATACCATAGCAACTTTTAAAAAAGAAATTTTTTTCACAAATATAAAGTGATTATGACCGCTAAAAACACTTTTAGCAGCTTTTATTGTTAACTTATCATTCAACTTTAAGCAAACAGAAGAAGGCCTGCATTCAGACTCGAAAAGTATACATAGTGTTCCGTAAGCATCATCCTTAATGTATATTTTCAGTATCTTTATGAAAAATTCGTAAAACGAGTTTATACGTTATAGTTCACAAAGTATGATTTAATCGACGTCTTTCAAACTACAGTCAGACCTCTATTTAACGAACTTCCCTTTAACGAATTTCTCTATTTTGAGAATTTTTTCGAGAAACCAAGAACATTTTTGAAATTTCTTCGTGAAATAACTTCCAAATAGCGAAGTGAATTTTCTATTTAACGAACTTTTCTTTAAAATCCACTTTCCCTATTTCAGTAAAATATCAGAGCATTTTGAACTTGTTAACTCATTTTAAGAGGGAAATGCCCTTGAATAGATTTTTGAAGCCTCTTAACTTTTAGAGAAAGCAGTTAGATCCCTTTCCCTATATGTTTGCATTTCAAACGAAAAACTCAGATGAATTTAACGGATTTTATCAGTAGGAATTAAACTTGTTGTAATGCATGTTTAATATTAATTTTATAGTAAATGCAGATATAATTTTATGCATAAATTTAGTTTCTTTTAGTTTAAAATGTATGTATCATGATAGTGTAACACTGTATAATGTTTTGCTCTATTCTTGCTTTCCATGCAGATTTCTTTTATGGTTAAGATTTTTAAAATGTATAGTAGATACTACTTTGCGTATAAAGGTGTATTAATTGCTATTTTAATTATGTCTAGTATTTATGGATTTAAAACCTGTTTTGTGACGTTTAAGTATTTCAAAAGGTGACTTTCTATTTAGCAAATTTTCTATGTAACGGACTCATTATCGGGATTAAGAGACTTCGTTAAATAGAGGTCCGACTGTACTTATACATAAGAGAGTATGAAATTATTCAAAATCAGTTTAATTGCGTTATGAAACTCAGAGGTTCTTCAACTCCAGAGGTTCCACTTTTCTTCAATTAATCATTTTATTAATTTTAACTTGCGACCCTTGTGTGATCATGCTGTTTGTTATGAATTTACATTTGCAAGAATCAAAAGAATATAACAGTCAAAAATGGGACTAAAGAAATGTAAGCATGTTATATGTCTCAAATTAATATTTAAGAGATATTAAAAACCACATTCTAATGGCCAATTTAAGTTTGAAGGCGTTTTTATCAACTTTTCTTACTTTCATCAAATAATAAGCTCAGAAAGTTCAGATACCTTTGATTGATCCATCATCAATTTGTTATTCGTCAGATTTTAATCACGTTTTTGTTTCTAACTTAAATATTAATCTCCCTCTCCAAACATGCATGCATATTTTATTTCATTTTTGAAATGGATTCTGAAAATGTATATTATAAGGAAGGTGATTACAGAACAGTATGTTATATTATTAAGGTATAAATGCTAATATAATCGATTTTGAAACAAATGTTAGAAAATTTTGAAACAGAATGTTAGAAAAATAGAAAATAAAAAATAATGATTTGAAAGGTGATTTGTGTTTATATGATAGTATTTAAAACAAAGCCAATAATGAAACTCTAAAATATCAGCATTTTAGTGATGGTAACCAAAAAATTTTACAACCTAAGGTTTTGAAGCTATATATAGTGGTCAGCCACATTTTTAAATTTTTTTCCGAAGAGCATTTTAATGAGTTATTTCGTTGATAAATATTTGTAGTCCTTGAAATATTCATTGTAGACAATTTACAATATTTTATCTAATAGAAATTCAGCATATGATTACTTTTTTTTTGTACAGCCTCTTATAACAGATAAATGCGCTTTTTTTATGGCTATTATGAAAATGATATATATGAACATTTGAATATTGAAACATATAAATATCTGATTTTTAAAATATATTAACATTTGAATATTGAAATATATAAATATATGATTTTTGAAATATATTAACATTTGAATATTGAAATATATTAACGTTTGGACATTGAAATATATAAACATGAACACATTGAAACATATAAACTTTGAAATACATAAACATTTCAACATTCAAACATTTAAACTTTGAAATATATAAACATTTCAACAATGAAATATCTACACATTTTAACATAGAAATATGTAAACATTTCATCATTGAAATATAGAAACATTTCATCATTGAAATATATAAACATTAAAATATATATACATTTCAACATTTAAATATACAAAAATTTCAACATTGAAATTTATAAACATTTCGTCATTAAAATATATAAACATTTCATCATTAAATTATATAAACATTGAAATATATAAGCATTGAAATGTATAAACTTTTAAATATAGAAGCATTAAAATATATAAACTTTGAAATATATAAACATTTCAACATTGAAATTTATAAAGATTTCAACATTGAAATAAATATACATTTCAATATTGAAATATATAAGAAAATCAACATTGAAATATATAAATATTTCAACATTGAAACCTATAAACATTTCAACATTGAAATATATAAAAATTTCAACGATGAAATATATAAATATTTCAACTTGCCCTATGCTTATTACGTTACAGATATTTACATATTTTTATAATGTTTGTATTACAGATTTTGTCCGTTGTTTTTATTATTCGTTGTCTTAATGTTAATAGTACCAAATCTTCATTCTGGACCCATATGGAACTCTTCATGGGATTTTGAAATTAAAAAATGTCAGAATTCCTGGTGGATGAACATCTTCTTTATGAACAATTTTGTACATTCTAATGATATGGTAAATCTACATCTATTTTTTTATTTTTTTCCCTTTAATTAATTTATTTTTCTGGGATGAAATATAATTTCTTTAACTATTAGGAATGCATGATTTCCGAATGCTTATTTAAGTTGAAGTAAACAATGTTTCAATTTTAGTTTCATGCTAAACAATTTAGAATAGATGAAACTGATGTGTGTAATATATTTACAGCTTGATTTAACTAGTCACAAAAAAGAGAAGGGAAAAATGGAAAAAAAATTGAATTTTTATTGAATTATTTTGACGGCCGTCTATTAGTTCTTTCATATGTTTTTATTGATTTTATTGATTCGAAAAGTCAATTAGATGTCAGTAACTACCATAGAGCTGTAATAGAGGTATGCAGCAAGCATTCTGTTATATTTCTCTATACCTCCTTGCCCAGCATCAGAGTCACATGATTCTTGTCTTGCAGCAATTTTGGCGTAGAAGAAATGAAGTCTTGTGACAAATAATATAAGCTTTAATTGGTTTTCTTTCTATTTGGTTTATGTTTTGAGCTTTATAGAGCACGAAAAGAAAGTTTGCAACTTCAAGAGTTCAGGTAAGGAATATACGTGGAAAAAGAAGGCTAGCTTCCATAGACATAATGTAAACAACTTCTCCAAAGGTTTTGAGAACACACTGTTTAAAGAAAGAAAAAAAGCAACAGTTTGGGAAGCAGCAGCATGGGTTCTTGAAACGTTCATTTAAAAAAGTTTTATTTTCAACCAAATACACTGCAATAAAAGAGCATATTTAAAAAAGAAAATTTGCAAAAATTCGCGAGTAAGAATTTTTTCCCTTTGAAATAACAATAATAAGCAGAAGGTGGAAAATTACCCTACGAATCTCCCACCCAGTCACGTGTGTTTATTATTGGGACAAAAATCAACCGAAAGGCTTGGTCAACCTACATTATAGCTCTATGGTATTTAAAGGTATTTATAGATATTTAAAGATTTACTTCATAGTATACTATAATAAAACCCTCTTTAACTTAGTATACATCCAGACATGGCCAAGCAACTAGCTCGATTTTGATTTTTAGAGCTTTGTCATTTCTTAGCCATGCCTGAACCGTACCACGTAATTTTGACTCCAGACAGACAACGTGGACAACGCCTGTGCTGTTACTCCTCTCTCCAAACTTTCGCACCGCAAGCCATGACGGATTTTACTACTGTTTGGTTGGCTGTTGTCGAATTCACGATCCTCCAACGATTACTTTATCAACCGTACCAAGTACACAACTACATCGAGTATCGGTGACCTTTGTATCATTGTTTAGATAAATACGAAGCAATTGTTTATTTAATTAAGGTATAATAGTGCATATATTTTTCTTAATGTTATACCCTTGAAACTAAAAGAAAATTTCGTAAAATTTGTCAACGTTATGTTGTTTAGAGTAACCATTAAGCAGGGTTGAATAAAAATGGCTTTACTGTTTGGAATTTCATATATTTTAACATAAAAATTATAACTACTTAACTTTAACATTTAAATGCTTATTTGTAGTGCATGCTTCATTCTTGGTTCATGGGGATGCTGATTCAAATGCATATAGCTGGTCTGGTCGTGTTGCTCGTCACATACAGGTATGTCAGTTTTAACTGTTAAATAATACCGAGAATTAAATTCATATTCAAGGTGTTCCACAATCGCCGCTCCCAGTAATTATTTCTAGATTCCTTGTAAAAAAAAGTCACTAATATTTTAGCGAGAAAAACTCGCTATCATTCTCTGTCGAATCATTAATGAGGAAGATAGGCTGAAAACATCAAAACCTGTTTGATTGCCGAAAGAAACAGAAGAGTAAAAATGCAGTTATTACTCCTTCGAAGTTTTAGCAGACAATCAAATTAATTTTGGTAGTTCTTCTTTCGTCTATTTTAGATATTCACCAAATTTTCTCCTTTCTTCTCGCTTCAATATTAATTTGTGCTCCCAAGCATATGAGCTTTTCTTACTTCCGCATTTCTGATAATGCATTTAAAGGCCTGGTTTCTTAGGACAAGCGCCTTATCTGGGCGTCAGCGGGACGTCAACATCCCGCTGACGCCAGCAAAATACTGGTTTGTTAGCTCAAGGCCTGGTTTCTTAGAACTAGCGCCTGATCTGGGCGTCAGCGGAAAGTTGACGTAGAGCTGACGCCAAAAAAATAGTTTTTTGTTAACTCAGCGTGAGCAGTCGGTTCAACGCAGACATTATCTCTCATTGCGCATGCGTTAATAACGTAAACAAATATTTATTTTGAATTTGTATTGATTNACAACATCCAACAGCACATTGAAATCAGCCAAGATTTTGATTTTGACATTAAACATAGCTTCTTCATTAAACATAGCACTCTTTATTTAGCTCAGCTATAATGTGTTTTTTCTTGGACAAAGTCATTATTTGTTCTCTAAAACACTGGTCGACAATAACAAAATCAATAAAAATTCAAAATAAATATTTGTTTACATTATTAACGCATGCGCAATGAGAGATAATGCCTGCGTTGAACCGACTGCTCACGCTGAGCTAACAAAAAAGTATTTTTTTGGCGTCCGCTCTACGTCAACTTTCCGCTGACGCCCAGATAAGGCGCTTGTCCTAAGAAACCAGACCTTAAGATATTATAAGCGATGATTTCGATTAACAGTACTAAAGTAGCAGAAACCTGCTACAGAAAATGCTTTAATTCGTAGTATTTTTTCGACATCATAGTGCAAATATCATCATAAGCAAATTTTAAAGCGATTGATTGGAAAATTGTTTTTAAACATCTTCTAAAAATGATCAAAAAGTTCAATCATAAAATAAGTTAAAATTTAAACGTTTTGAATATTTAAAATGCTTTTAAAACATTTCATTTAAATATTGACAAAAAATTATTTATTTAAACAATAATATGGTTATCTGCAACAAAATGTTAATATTTTTTTGCTTTATAAGTTAGTAATTTAACTAACCTCCTAGTGGCTCAAATTCTAGTTAAAATTAAGAACCAATTGATGTTCCAGTAAAAGGTGCTTAGCTATATTTTACTGAAGTTTTTAATGAAAAAGATCTATAAAGCTAACAGAATAAAAATTTGAACCCTAAAGGATGAAAAAAATTGAATTACGCAACTTTTGAAAGTATAATTACAAAAGATAAAGAAATTTAAAAAAAAAAATTGGGATCTAGTAATGCCCTGAAAAGTTTTTAGTTCGATGTCAAAAGCATTTATTTGGATAATATGAAGTGCGATGCAATTTTTTTTCCTGGCATACAAGTCCACAATGTGAAAGGATGAACCATAACACAATTTTATATCAGCTCACAATACATAATTAAGAGATTTGTTTCTTAGTAGCTAAATATGTGACCACCACTTTAGATTCTTTTACACTGAAAAAATTTTCTACAAGTTATCCACAAGGCATGGAAATGGTCAAAAATATCACGACATACGTTTACATCAGATCAAATATCTAAGAATACACATGTGAAAAATATGTGTATCTAAAAATATACAAAGTTGAAGCATTTTTTAGTCATAGCTGAAGCAAAAGCATTTTAAATACTTGCATTAGATGATATTTTGAAAAGCTTATCTCATGACACAAAATTGGAATCCCACTTCCAAACGAAAATGGCGGCCGGCAGACAACCAAGCATCAGAATGTCTGAAGGGGTTCCGTCGAATTTGGTTTCGTTGAATTCATGCTTTGAAAATATTTCACCTTTGTACTTTCAGATTTTTGGTCTGATGTAAACTTATAACGGAAATATGATCCTCGTGGCCATACATTTTCGACCCATTATAGTAATTTACTGTAGTCCAAATTCAAGACTTATTACGCAATTAACAATAGAATACCATCCCTAATCCCGTTAAAAGTACCAGGATTATTTACCAACTACACTCGCTACAACCCTTAATATCTAGAACCGAGCGAAATGAAACAAGTGTAGTTAAAATAAGCAGTAATCGGTGTAATTTTTGACTTATATTTATGAATTCATTTAGTCTGTTAGAACTGTAATTGAATTTTTTTACAGAATGCCAAAAATCGGAATGGCCTTGGCTTCAGCATTGATTTCAGCATGCATACTTATTGTTTACGAGACTTCAATAGTTCATAAATTCCAGATGGTTTCCTTTACATTCCTCAGAGATTTAGAGTAAGAGTTCTTTTCTCTTTTAAGCAGTATTTATATCTTTAGTGGACGCTATTATCTCTGAAGAGACCTTTCATGTCAAATTCTGTCTCACTAAAAATTTTAAATTCAAGTTTAGGAAAAAGTGAGTTCCCGTAAAATTCTCAAAAAGCAAACAAATTATGTCAGGTTTACTCAGTAGGGAAATAATCTTGTCATAATGTGTTTGCATTTTGATATTTTGAGAATATTTTTTCTAGCATTTAAATCTTCATGGATTACCAAACATTTTTACTATATTCTAAACTAAGTTTTAAATTACCAATGAAGATAAAATAGAAATTGCCGTGAAAAATTTCTTCATAGCATAGCATCTTTATGCATTCGCATCTTCTGTAGTTTAGCTTCAAGAGGTAGCTTTTTGTTATACTATGTTGATATCGTTGAAATAATGGTCACGGATTAGTGGTAATGATACTATTCTGTGACTTGAAAGATGCATGCTTTTGGCGCGACCCCAATAATAAATAATGACGATTCACTATCGAATATATGAATAATGACTTGACTATCAAAATGCGTGACGCTAAAGCAAAATTTATGGGGAAAAAAATAATTTACATTGCTCTTAGTTTTTTTAGTGAATGATCATTATTTCTGTGATTTTGCCTCTCCAACAAATTTAAACCCCCTTCCCGTTTTCAACAAAGTGGATGATTTCTTAAGAAGAAGCATTTCTTTCTCGTTTCAAATGTTTCCTTCAAAACATTTTTATAAATACCTAGTTTCATAATATGAGTCTTTCTTGTTTTTCGTGAACTTTTAAATGCTTAGTAAAGAGCTTCCAGTTTACACCAACCAGAATACAGATGTACAGATGCGTCAGTTATTAAGAATTCGAGAAATTTTCAATTGCATCACATTGTTAGAATCTTGGGTATAAATTCAGTTTCAACAATGATAAAATTATTTCCACTCCAGTTACATCATGTTGCCCAGGAATCTTGTTCTATTCACTTGAATGCCGATTACTTTTCCAACCTCTCCTTAAGGCATGGGAATGCATTTTACTTTGATTTACCACTGTGTTTTTTTCGGTTCTGTTTTTTATTTTCTTTCTCTCTCTCTGCTTCTGTGGATTTTCATGTTTTGTTTCTCACCTTTATTTTCCCATGTTTCGTTGGAAACTTAACGTTTCAATTTCATAACAATTTTATTTTCCTTACAATCACGCCAGACAAGTCTTGAAAATGGGTGCCTATTTTTGATCCGCTTGAAACATGCCGACTATTATTTTTTATTTGTTTATTTCTGAAGTGAATGAAATTTTCAGTCAGGTGAGATTGGATAGTGGTGTGAATCTTTAGAGATCATGGTGGTGGTTCAGATTTAATCAATTCTGCGTGTCCTACTCCTGTTTTGGCAAATGTTATTAAGAGTTCCAACCTCCAAAGAATATACTAACGCTTTTGAGCACCAACTACTTTTTTTCTTCTCCTGACTAAGACTGTACCGAGTTGGTGCGTAACGCTTTCGGTCAAGTTTACGGGTCAAGAGCTCTTATGTCCGTGGCGGCAATTTTGCACTATATTACTCAACTACTATATTACTCAACTGACCTACTACGTTCGAAACATTGTATCGGTTAAATAAAGAATGACTATAACTAATGACGATTGTTAACATCTGATTCTGTTCTTTAGTACATTATAAATGCTATAATTTGCCTAAATCTGTTGTAATTGCCCTAGTATTTATGAATAGCAAACAAGTAAATAATAGTTGTAAATGTTTTATTATAAAAATGTTGTCCTTAAATATTATTAATTCTAACGGCAATTTAAATTTCAGCATGCTTAGGGACTGGCTTTCTACCATATACTTTCTTCCATTTAGTCATTTTCCATCTTTTGTAATGGGAATGTCTCTAGGATGGGTTATACTCACACACAAAGATGTCAAACTATCCATTGTAAGTAAATAATTTCATATATTGATACACATCAGATATTGATATATATTTATACCTAATATCTATCCTTCTAATAAAATTTCTGATATGTAACAAATGTACGATCTTTCTGATTTATGAATACCTATAATAAAAGTACAGTGAAACCTGCAGGAAAGACCACAGCTGTGCAGCGACCTCCTCTATTTACGACCACTTTTTTCCATAGACTTTGCGTTGAAGGAAATCTTTAGGAGATATCGTCAAAACCAAGCTTATCTGCACCAAGAAAATGACACTGTGTAAAATTAAAATTGCTTGTGGAAAATCATGTACCTTCGATAACATTTTTAAGTAAGTGGAGGTAACCCCTCCGAACGACCAAACACCGTTTTACTGTGAAACAGAGTGATCGTCCCCGAGAGGTTTCACTGTATATCTATTCATGTAACAAAATTTCTTTATAAGTATTAAACTACAGATTTTCCTGATATATCTATACCCAGAATAAAAACATATTTATTCCTATAATAAAATTTCCGACATGATCAACCTATGATGAACATGACTTTTGAAAATTGACGAATACTTTTGATATTTGGCTAATCTATTGGCTAATAATTCGAAACCCTTAGTGAGGGTCTTGATAAAAAAAAACTTTCTTACTGTTATTTCAAACATAAGTGTCCTAAAAGTTGGAAAATGGCTCAGAGGATAGATCGTTCGTCTTCCAATGAGGCGAACCGGGTTCGAATATCACGATGGCTGGTCGAGACGAATCCGCATCCGGCTAGCACCGAACACAGTGCTGACGTAAAATATCCTCAGTGGTAGGCGGAGCATGGGTTAGAGTCCCTTTGCCGTCAGACTAACTGTGGGAGGTTCTCGTGGTCTTCCTCTCTGTGTAACGCAAATGCGGGTTAGTTCAATCAAAAAAATCCTCCACGAAGGCAAATTTCTCCCTATACTTGATGCAGGAATTCTCTTGTCTTCTGGATTGGGTTCAAAGTTACAAGGCTACTGAGTTGAACATTAGTAGTCGTAAACCCAAAAAATTGGGTCGCCTGATCAACGCCGGTTATAAAGTATAAAATAAAATTCTGGGGAAAGAAAATCTAGGGTACTTACCAGGCAGAATACATTCCATTTTAACAACTGCATCAAACATTCCAAAAATCACTGATGAATTGAAAAAAATCATTTAAATGTAACGAACAGAGATGTGCGATTTACTGCATCTACTAATGAAATGATTGAGTTGTCATACAGCTTCAAAACAAGTTACAAAGTTTGTCAACAGATGGCGTCTTTTAACTGATCAATGTAGTAATAGTATTACTAATTTACGCAGCACTAGAGCTGTACGATGGGTTATTGGTGACGGACTAAGAAACAATCTTGAGGATGATCCGAAGACCTGCCATCACAATTGCGATCCTCTACGGAGGGCATTGCTACCATATTTTGGTAGCCCGAAGACCACAATTAATGTTTTCAAAACAACCATCATTTTCTGGAACAGTTTGGAGCAGTCTGAGATCAAAACGACATGTCTCAGAGGAAATATTTTAAATTTCAGTTGAATTAGTCTTGACTTATAGCAAAAAGGATTCTTTCACAGTTTCTTAGTACGCGTGCCATTTATTGACAAACCTTGTAAACAATTTGTATATTTTATTGTATTTAATGATTTCTCCAAAATTATAGCTCATATATTTCCAGTAGAGTTTTAAGCATTGAAACTGATTTGTTGAAAAGCCTACTGTAAGTGAAGGAAGGATCAAAAATTTTTAAAACGCAATTTACTTACTTTTTCATTCCTGACCTTGCCACAAAAGACCCCACTTCAACTGTAATCAGAACACTTTCTAACTTAATTTTTACAAATTATGATATAATAATTAAAGGATTATACCAGTATAATATTTTCAGAGTGAGTTATTTTACTTTGAAGTTTACAGAAACTTTAAATAACTACGTAAAATTTTCAGACTCTTCGTACAACCTGTTGGATCTTGACCATTCTATTTTATGCAATAGCCATGTATGGAATATGGATTCCGACAAAGAATTACAGAATAATTGCAGCTTATTATGCCCTAAGAACTTTATGTTGGGCCTTCAGTACATCTTGGCTGCTTTTCAATCTTTTCACAGGAAAACTGGGTAAGAGAGTTTTTGGAAAAAAATTATAATTAGTGTTATGGTTTATGACATCAACTGAATTGTAATTTATAACTTCGAAAATGCTGAAAAATTACACGATTTGTGGAGTCGGAGAATGGTTTGAGACCCTGGGACAAATAGTTTATATGCTATGTTTTTTATTTACAAAAATCACAATGCTTGACTCGCACTTATTTAAGTATCTAATATTGAGTCCAGAGACGTATTGTTTCCTTAGAATTTTTTCAGGAAGAATTGAGGAAGACTTAACACCACCAGTTTAGAAACTGCAATGGTTTTATGTGCATAAAAGTATAATTTTTGACTTGTACTTAATTTAACCTTTGACATCTAGACAAATGAAGTTCTGCTCTTTATGTATTTCTTACAATTAATTTAATGAGGCTAATTTCGGGAATATATGACTGTAGAAATTTTTTATTAAAAAAATAATGAGGTGAACTTAAATGAAAATTTATAATTATGGTGAAATGTGCTATTTTGTGATAACTCAGAATCAAAATACGAAACTGAAAATAAAGGAATCAAAATAGTATAGCAGCCCTTTATAATAATTGCTAGTTCCTGGTACCTCTCATTTCTTTCACCGAATCATATTTTAATAGTCCATGGCCCTTCGGACTACTGCTAATTTCGAGCCTTGTAAATAGTTTAGAAATTAAATGGTTTCATGTACAAGAAGTACTACGTTTGATTTATATTGACTGTGTTTGACTATGTTTAGGTTAGACTTGTACCTACCTGACATTGTTATCTAGACAAGTGAAGTATTGTTTTTAATGCATTTTTTTCCATTTGAATAAAAGGAAACAAAATACAAATAAACAGAACTCCCGGTTCAAGCGTTGCAAGAGTTAGGTACAAAAAAGTATTTTTTTATCTTGTACTTATTTACCCTATTGACTCCTATTTAGTCTCAATTGATTTGGCATAAGAAATAGATGAGAAACCATCCATTACTTGTATAGAAAGCAATGATAAAAGTGTAAAGAAGTAGAAGTCAAACTTTTATTATGATTTGTCTTACATAAATTCTTCAGCTCATATGACCTAATATGGAGAATTTATGTTTTCTTTCATATGACATAATATTAAACAACAGCTTTAAGCATTAATCAGCTAAGCAGAGGTGTTTCTAACAGTAACATAAAGAGTTAACAAAAAAAATGCTTATTTAAATGTATTTTTTTCACTTTTCATACTAATGGTTAAATAAAAAATAAATTTTTGCGAGAAAGAACAAAACATTCCATGATATTCTATTAACATAAACTCCTGTATGTGAAAATTGCAACACCATGAAGGTATCGTCATAATTGAATGAAATTTAATAAGCAGTTGAGTGGTAGTGGTACAAATAAATGATTAAACTTACAAAGCAAACAAACAATAACAAGAGATCGAAATCAGTATTTTGTGTGACCACCACGCTCCGCAATAAGTGCTGCTACACGACATGGTATGGAGTCTGAGGAAGAGAATTCAATACTGTTTGTATGCGTACCCAAAGTTCGTCTGTAGAAGCAACAGGACGAGGATTACGAGCGAGACTTCGACCAACGAAATCCCACTCATGTTCAATCGGCGACATATCCGGGGAATACGCCGGCCAAGGAAGAAGTTGTACCTGTCGCGATGCAAGGAAGGATTGAACAGTCCTAGCAATATGAGGGCGGAAATTGTACTGTTGAAATACAGCACCTGGCAAGGCTTGAAAGAAGGGAACAGCTTGGGCTGTAGAACTTCTCTGATGTACCGGTTGCTGTTCAGATTACCCACAATTCGCAGCAATAGAGATCGTCCATGATATGCTATGTCACCGCAGACCATAACCCAGGGTGTTCGTCCACTGTGGCGTTTGATAACGCACTCCGGAAGATGGCGTTCACCGGCATAGCGTCTGACATGGTACCACAAATTGAAGCGAGATTGGTCAGAAAACACGACACGCTGCCAATCAGCAAGCCAGTCACTATGCTGGTTGGCCCATTGCAGCTGCAGGCGGCGAAAGTTTAGCGTGAGGGGGATCCTGTATAAAGGAGTCCTTGCGCGCAGTCCACGCTGCAGCAGACGTCTACGAATTGATAAAGCACNCCTATGCTGGTTGGCCCATTGCAGCCGCAGGCGGCGAAGGTTCAGTGTGAGGGGGATCCTGTATAAAGGAGTCCTTGCGCACAGTCCACGCTGCAGCAGACGTCTACGAATTGATAAAGTACGCAATGAAACACCTGTTGCTATTGACCACAGTGCTGCCAGTTGTCTAGAGGGAGCCGTACGGTCCGTTAGCGCAACGCTGAACATGTGTCTTTCATCGCGAGCTGACGTGACATTTCAGGGTCCACTCCAGGATTTCCGAGTTGTCCGACACTCGTCCATCCACTGCGTTCAAACACGCACCACTGTGCTGCTGTTACGCTGCACACGAGCGGCATCTGCACGATAAGATAATCCATCTTCACGAAGGCCGATGATTCTCCCCGTTTAAACTCCGTAAGTTGTTGAAATCTCGCTCTCTTTCGTCGAATAGGCATAAGTAATGACTAAGCTAACATTTACCACTAGCAGATAACCACCGATAACCATAATCGCTTGGCTACAGCCATCTATTTATTCGGATCCATCGGCCGTTCAGAGGGCGCTGCTCAGGATACGCTTGCGCTACGGGTCTGAAATTCTAATCATTTGCATATCATGCTCTACTTTGCATTTCCTGAAAATTTCAGTTCACTCGCGTAAGTCCTTCATGGTGTTGCAATTTTCACAAACACGAGTTTATATTTCCAGAATTATAAAAAATATTCAAAATAAGGCATCACAAAGCATATTGAAATCTGGAAAAAACAAAAGCGCTATTCTGTGGAATTACTAGTAAAGAAGATGTAATTAAAAACATCATTAAACTGTTTGATTGCTTGATCAAATTTTGTTGTATTTTTAATCACCACTTTTTAGTAACTGCTAGCTAACAACCAGGTTTTGACCTACTTTTTTCAATAGTGATTCACTGTTTATATTTGTCCAACGCTATTATAGGACACCCTATATACACATACAATAAGAAAAAAGATATCTAATATTATGACGTAACTGAATACTCTTTGCTTTTTTGGACAGACTTGATGCACAGGTTTCTTTCGTTGGATGTTTTTACTCCGTTGTGCCGTATCAGCTATAGCCTTTACGTTATGCATATACTTGTACTAATCTTCAGGGCTGCATCTTTGAAAGAAAGGGTATACGCAGGAATGATAGATATGGTGAGTGTAATTTGGATATATTTAGTTGCTTATACAAACGTAACAGATTTAAGCAAAATTCTTCCGTCAGATTTCTTCATGCACCTACATCGAACTAGTTGTCCTATGGATGGTTGAATGTAAACAATAACAAGCTTCCTAAAACCGAAGGAAATTTAGAAAATTTCCAGTGTATCCCTGCACTTATATTATGCTCCCTGTTATTTCGAACCCAATCCAGAAGACAAGGGAACTCATGGATCAAGTTTCGGGAGAAATTTGCCTCCGTGGTGGATTTTTTGACAGAACTAATCCGCATTTGCTCTACATAGAGAAACCACCCACGGTTAGAATGACGGTAAGGAGATTCTAACCCATGATCCGTCTACCACTTTAAATATTTCACGTTAACACTGTGGTCGGAGCTAGCCGGGTGAGAAATTCGTATCGGCAGAATTCAAACACGGTTCATCTCATTCGAACGCTCGATATTTTGAGCCACCATGGCTCAGTCTTAAACTATAGTTTGCTACTTACCAGAGGAAGCATTTTTAACTCTGGCACTCTTTTAAAAATTTTAAGCAATCGAAAAACTACTGATATTAATAATGTCATTTCTTTTGAGATATGTATTTCTCAAAACATGGTTAATAGTATGAGGTTCCTTTCTAAATGGAAGAATTTTAAGGCATAAAATAAAGCAATTTTCAGAATATTATGAATATTGATAATAATTTAATATAAATTTAAAAATAATAATAAAATGCACGCGGGCTGCATTGTAAGTGGTAGAAAAACTTACAATGTAAGTGATAGTAAAACTTAGAATGGCATACAAATTTTTTAATCGTCATTTATTTTATTTAGTTGCTCTGGAACCGATGGCGACTGCTAATTTTATCCCATACGGAACGAATCTTGGATATAAAATTTTGCGACCAATAACCTGTCGTGATCACTGAGTGCCATTACTTTTCAGACAATTGGGTTGAAAAGAGACCAATGTGTGCAATATAACAAATTTTACCATTGATTTGAAACTGTTAGGTCTATTGGGCCACTATCTTGGTCCTTCACAACGGCAGCTCAGTGTTTTAATCACAATCCTATCATGACTATACAAACATTCATGGAATAATAATTTTGAAATTACAATGCGCATTTTAATAATATACTATTCCGAGCTGTAGTGGCTCAGGGGAATAGAGCGTTGACTTCCTAATGAAATGGCCTAGGTTCGTACCTCGGCGGTGCTGGCTGATACCAATTCTGCTCCCGGGTCGCACTGACCACAGCACTGACGTAAAATATCCACAATGATTGATGGATCACGGGTTAGAATCCCCTTGCTGTCAGGCTAACCGTGGGATGCATTCATGATTTTTTCCTCTCATGCAACGCAAATGCGGGTAACTCCATTAAAAAGTCCTGCACGAAGGCAAAAGTTTCTAACAATATTTGAGCCATGAGTTCTCTTGTCTTTAGGGTTGGGATCTTCTGGCTAAGGTTCAAAATTTTAAGGCTAAAGAGTTGAACATTGGTAGTCGTGAACTCGGAATTTTCTCGACTGTTCAACACCGGTAATAAAATTAAGTATTCCATATATTATTTTAAACAAATGAAGAAAATTAGAACAAATTTTTCATTATAAAACTGAAGTTTAAGTAAATCAAATTTACCACTGTTTAGAACCAAAAGTTGATGAAAGAATTTCTTCTAAAGTCTAAATGTGTTTTATAACGATAGTAGCTAATGAATAAATGTTACACAACTTTCTGTTGTTAACAAATAATTTAATTAAACATTTTTTTCTCTTGCAGCTTTTTGATTGTTTGGCAATCATTGTAATCTCTATTGGATTAGCTTATGTGGCGCACATTACAGTAGAATTGCCATTCAATTCTGTATATGATTTATGGCATGAAAAAGCAAAGGATGGCAAAAATATAAAAAGGACCATAAATGAAAGCAATTCTAGACACTGTTTTGGAGAACAAAAAATACATGAGAGCAAAGAAAAAAGCTCATAAGCTTAGTCAAGTTCTGCCTTCTAAAATATATATAATTTCTTTTTTTTCATATATGCATTGAGTATCAGAGCTAAATATCAACATTACCTGAAAGAGATACTTCGTTTTAAACTATAATTGATTAACTTAGTATTAGATGTATCTTTCAAAATGTTTAATTTATGTTTTTACAAATGAGTTGCCCCTTATCTAGTATCTGCAGCAAGTTTAAAATTTTGATTTATATGCACAAGTTTCACAGTTGTATTTCTTAGTTGTACTCGATGTTTTTTTTTAATACCAGTAAAAAAAATGTAAGACACTTAACAGTCCATGTTTTTTAAAATTATTTCTATTAATGATTCTTCTGCTATGAACTTCTTTCGTAATTAAAATCTATTTTTGCATGAAGTCAATTCCTACAAGATGTCTAGCACACTAACTTTTGTAATAAATGCAATGAAATTTATTGAAAAATATGAAAAAGAAAATTAATTATTGATAAATAAGAAAGCTGTCGTGATGAATTTGATTTATAATTTTTAGAGTCACCGTCTAATTAAACATTACATTTCTTTTCAGTTTATTTTTTAATTCTAAAAAAAAGATCAATTAGTGCTAAACCATCATAGTTGCACCCCTTCAGAAACATGAATTTTAGAATTCTGTCATCATGAGTATAACATGTATTCATTTTTAATAAAAAAGAAAAAAATGTGTCTCAAAATAATAAAGGAAAAAGGAAGATTTCCTAGATTAAAGGGATCATGTCATGTTTTTTATTAGAATTGGAAGAAAAGATAACTTTTATAATTTTATATCAAAGTGGATACTTGCACTTCAACAAGATCAAGGATACCCACACGTGACCTATAATGTCAGTGCCAGTTCATGTGATCTACGACGTTTGCTTATATGTGATCGAATGTTAAAGTTGAGCTTAGTTTCTCCACATAACTTAGAATATTAATTAACGTGAAGTTAATTAAATGCAGTGCCGTATCACACATCGAAATTGCTGAAATATAAATCTTTCCCGTCTATGTCTTTTACAATGCAATAATTATTATTTGTTTATGTATTTCATTGTAACACTGATATATATTTGTGTACCTGGCAACATCGATGCGTAATTTTATTTGCTTATGTTCTACATGGCTTCGTGCCTGTCTTTGTGTTAAGTAAGAAATATATAGTGAAAGAATATATAATGTTTCCTCTAAGAGAATTGATTCTTGCCGGGCTTGGTTTACTCGAAATAGAATGGGAAGAACAGTTGCTAATGTAAACAAAAGCCACGTTTCAACAACCAATCAGGATCGAGATATCCCATACTACCTCACTTCCAGGTATCTCACTTGCAGTGAAAAAATAAATAAATAAACGTAACATTCTGAATAACTTAAGATTCAGTGATCGGATCTTTATGTAATAGGACTCAGTCTTAATGGTTTAAATGGGTGACCTCAAATATGCAGACCAGTTAGTGCAGACAATATCAAGCTAAGAAATCAGATACCAAAACGTATCTTCTCGGAATAAATATAGATTCATTAGGATTTCTTACCCCAAGGATTAGGATTAGGATTCCTTACCCAAAGATATAGCTAGGAAAAAATATGGCCCCAACTTTTTGGTCTGGAGAGTTGTCTTAAGTTTAGAAATCTTAAATTCAATTTAACCTTTTTTGTATTTCTGTATTTTGCATTTTTTTGTATCTTTTAAGCAAATTAACAAATTTTTTGCGCATAACTTTAAAATGTGTTTATCCAAAGATAACTCCATGCAAAATATATAATTTTTGTAAATATTTACTATTTTTTATAATTTTATTTATTAATAATTATTTTGAATTGTTAAGGTATACAGTGTTTTACATCATTTTAATGACTGCAATTTTAAATGGCAAACCACAAAAGTTCAGCAAAATCTTTTGAAATGTTCTTGAAAAATCAAATAGTTTAAGTGAATCAAAAATTTTTTACACTCAATTATAAAATTCTTTTCTCCAAGAATAATTTCAAACAAAAAATAATTTTGAATAAATTAAATGAAGTCGTAAATTTAAAATTTGATTTATCAGGGATTATAAAGTTACATTCCTTAATATTATGTGAAAATTTTTAAACTATACAATTCGATTCTTTTTACCATAATTAAATAAAATAAAAAATATAAAAAAATTTGTTTTTAATGAATTTTACAATTTTGTGCAAAAAATTTCAACTCAATAAAATTATTCTCGAGACATGGTAAAATGCGCAAAAAGAGAAATTAGCATTAAGGTTCAAATATTGGACCACTCTCCTAACCAAACTATTTTGACCATATTTTTTCTCAGATTGTGGCTATACTTTTGGGGTAAGGAATCAAAATCAGCCAAAAAGTAATTCAGAAAACAGTGTATTTTTATGTCTGATTTCGTAACTTAAAATATCGTCTGCATATTATAAAATGTCGTCAGAATATATTTGCATATTTGAGGACATCCTTTTAAACCATTATAATTGAGTTCTAATAATTGAAGATCTAATCACTAGATCGAAAGTTATTCTGTGTTATGTTTTCTTTCCTGCACTTTATATGAAAAATGCCTAAAAAAATATTCATCAATAGATTCATTTTTATAGTTTCTAATGAGATGATCATTTAAACTTTAGAAACACTTTTGACCTACTGTTTATAAAATTGTACACCAGCGCAATCTAGAAATGGATTTGCACATGGACGAAATGGATTTGTTCATGGAAAAATTATATAAATTAACAAAGAAAATTTTTAGTAAGTAATTTTAGCCACGGATTTGCCCGAAATGGATTTGCACATGAAAAAATTATATAAATTAACAAAGAAATTTTTTTAGTAAATATATCTACAATAATATATGATTAACTCAATGATTTTATATAGAATTTTACAACTTTAGTTGGGTATCCATTGTTTTCAATCAAATTTTGAAAGAGTTTATCTATTTGTTTTTTGGATAAATAAATATTACTACATATTCTTTTAATTCTATTCATTTCATTAAATGTGGTTTTTAAATAGATGCTCCTAGAAACATTAGAATTCCAAGTAATTAGTTTATTTATATTAAAATTAAAATCATTTCTTTTACCGTATAAATCAACAAAGCAGATATTTTCTTCTTTTATAATACCCAAATCCGAGAAATTGAAATTAATATTATCATCATGATTACGAAGCAAGATTAATTCCTCGGGGTAAATATTATTTAATAAAATAGTATAATCTTGAAAATTAAATTAAATCATCAATAAATCTAAAGACAAATTTAATACTAAGAGTATAATTTTTTTCACAATAATGCAAAAATAAGTTAGCTAAGAGAGATGAATAATTAGATCCTTGTGGTATTCCATCAATTTGAAGAAAAATATCCCTTCCATTATTAAAAAGGCAAAAATTAATCAGAATTTCTCGATAATCAAAATCGCAACAAAGGATATTTTTAAAATAATAGTAATAATTCAAAAAGACATCTTTTAGTTAAGAAAGGGGAATGCTATTGAAAAGATCCTGGAAATCAAAAGTCGCAATAGAATTAATTTTATTATGTTAAATGAATTCTAAAATCGGTTGATTATTAGTGATAATCCAAGAGAAACCTTCTTTAGAAATATTGTTAATAATTTAATTTAAGTAGTTAGAGAAAATGGTGTCAGGTTTAGTTAGATAAGTATTAGTAGCTTATTAGTAGCTATAAAAGTAGCTTATTTTTCGTTAAGAGAACATTTTATATGATGGAATAACTTTCAAAGAGCAACTATATCCATTTCATAAAATTTAACAGAATACTAATTCTAGTCAGTTTAATTCACTTCAGCAGTAGTTAGCAGTCCGTTGTGACAACTACTTATCACGGTGAGCTACACAGAACGAATTGAGATGTAGTACCTATCCGAATTTGGTGTTGAAGAACTTCTATAAATATTGTGTGAATGACTACTTTATTTCGAGTTAATACCGTATCAAACGTCCATGGTGTTTTTAAAGGGTGTATTTAGTCACCGATAATCGAGAAAGCTTTCCACAAGCCCAAATGGTAATTTTGGAGTACGTTTGGAAACGGATGAAAACGGTAGATTGCTTTTAATCGAGCACGATAAGGTGAAAATTTGTCAAGCTTTGAAAGTCTTTATCTTTTTCAGAAGCAGAAGTTAACTATAACAAAAGGCAGGTAAGTTTTCATTTGCGCAATAAAGATAATTGCGTTCTTGTAAGAAAATTTATATGAAGCTTTTAATTGTAATAAATAATTTTATAATATATTTTTATTCACTTTCGTTTTGCAACAAAATTCGAATTTTTATTAGTATTTTCTCTCTTCTGAGTACGTGTACATACAACCTTATTTTAAGTATTAGTGTATGTATCCTTATTTGATGATTACAACTTTATATTGCGTTGGAAAAAATAATTTTGCTGCCTCTTATTTTCAGCATATACGAGGTTTGTTATTTAATTAAGGGCCGTTTCATATTAAAAACCAAACGAAAGAATATTTTCAAGAAGCAAATTTATTTTCAGATACAACATACGTTCCCCTTTTTTTCCCCATCATAGTTGCCAAGCTTGTTTAAACACTAATATCTTACAACTAGATTTAGATTACCCTCTCCATACAAACTTGCCACCTGCTTCATTAGCCAAGAGGTTACGGTTGTTTTCACGTATTCGTCATCGTTGTAATGATTGCGCCGAGTTTATGTTTGAAATATCGGTAAAGATGAAAATCACTCAGTGCAATATCTGGACGTCCATACAACTTGCCACCATACAAACTTGTCACCATACAACTGGATTTAGAATACCCTCTCCATACGTCCATACAACTGGACGTCTGGACGTTCATACAGCTTGCCACCATGCAACTAGATTTAGAATACCCTTTTCATACAAACTTGCCACCTGCTTCATTAACCAAGAAATTACGGCTGTTTTCACGTATTCGGCATCGTTATAGTAATTGCGCCGAGTTTATGTTTGAAATATCGGTAAAGATGAAAATCACTCAGTGCAATATCTGGGCTGTAAGGAGGGGTGGTCCAAAACTTCCCAACCAAAAGAGTTAAATAAAGCTGGGATCTGAGCAGTGGAGAGAGTCATTGTCATAGAGTAGCAAAATTCCCTGTCAGCATGGTCAGGGAAATTTTGCTACTATCTGACTATGAATGTATGCAGCAGACAGGTTTTTTGCAGATTAAGAACGCATCACTATCTCGTTCGTGGCTTGCGATTTGCTAAGTTTGAACATTTTAACGACACACAACTGATCGTACAGTTTACCAGTTTACCTACACAGCTGCAACTGAGCACAGTTGTTCCCAAGGAATACCGGAACACGACACAAGCACTCGTTGTGACTCACAAGTCACCTATTAGTGTACACAACAAAGCGGCCATAACTTAAAAAACAACCCTCGTATCTTACTGTAATAATAAATTTTAGTAACACTGAATACCAGAAGTGGTGGATGCTACTTTACCCAAGTATTAAATAACATTCTCAATGTTTCATTATATTTGGTGAAGTGAAACACCAAGAGTTATGTTTCACAACAACACCTTTGTGTAAAGTGCAGTTGCCAACATTTTCGTGTTTAAAAAGTCTAGTTCAGGGATGGCGAACCTTTATACACCAACGTGCCGTTTTTTCCAAAAAATTGTTTAATAAGGTCATAGACGTGCCGTCAAATAATTATGCCTTCGTGATTATTGGAAAAATAATAATACTAAATACTATCAACTTAAAACTCTTTAATTACACTGAAAAAAATAATATTTTGCAATGTCACAGTTATACGCGTAATTCAACTTAAAGTAACATCAGTGTGACTTCTGCTGTTGCAGATTAGATGACAAATAACTTATATTAGGTTGTAAGATGTTAGTTTAAGCAGGACTGTTTATTTTTTTTGTTAGTTATTTATTGTTAACTTGTTTTTTATGGTTATTAATTGCTTTTTTAGCATTAATTGTTAATTTTTTTCATTAATAATTGTTTATTATTTTGCGTGTTTTTTGTGAATTTTAATTTAATTGTTACATATGCTTCATAGTGAAATAGCATTTGAGTAATAACAATTCATAGTGTAATAACAAATGGGATCGGTGGCGTGCCCAAAATATTGTGTCGGGTGCCATAAATGGCACGCGTGCCATTGGTTCGCCATCCCTGGTCTAGTTGATAACTGGAAAGGTAAAAGCTTTTTAATAGTAAAAATTTAAAAGAGAAAGTCTTATTTTAATTTCTCAATCAATTCAATGGATTTCGTTTAAATTTTTTATTTTGTTAGTTCGAACTATATTAAAAGATCAGAATTTTTTTTAAAAATCTTGTAACTATGTTACTCACCGTTAAATTAAATAAAAAAAAGAAAAACTTTGTAAAGAAAAAACACTACGTAAAAGAGCTTTTCAAATGAATGAAAACAATTTGTAATCCGCAGTTTGTTACATAGATAACATGCTAAAATTTTAGGAGGCTCACATTTTTGACTTGTCTGAATTTCGTAGATTACTTTTCACTTTTTCAGGGACATACAACTATATATAAAAAAATGTGTATGTTCTAAGAATATGAGCTTTCGTGCCTGATTTTGAAACTTTGACAACAAGAAAATGTTATCCCTTTTATGTATTTGACTTTTCGTATTTATTTTCAAAGAATAGCGTTATTAGCGCCTCTTAAAATGGAGAGAACATTCTGTTAGTAGTATCTGAATTAGAATAAAGAGATAAAAAATTTTACTTTTAGTTATAAATGAATTTCGAATTATTTTTTTCTCGATAAATTTTTTTATCACTTTGTTCAAATTTAAAATCATATCTCAATGAAATTTGGAATAGTATATTTTATATACTTTATTTAAATTTGCCTTTAAGAACTTTACAAGTTTGTATCTTTTAAAAAATAATCGAATAGAAAAATATGCATTTTTATACATTGAATTGTTCTTTTTTTTTCTTTTTTTTCCTTTGTTAAATACTAATATCAAAAAATTCTGAGAAAAAAATAAATTTGGAAGAATTTTATTAAAAGCTAATTAATGATAATATAAAAAGCTCGAAATTCTTAAATTCATGAAAAGGAAAATTTTTAAAAAAAGTTTTTAAAATATTTATAAAATGTTTCACAAGAAATTCGACAAAATACTATTTAATTATTAAGTGATGAAAAAGATGCATGCGTTTTTAAAAATGTTTCAAAATTATTTCTTGAATCCTAAATTAGCATTAGCGGCGGCAGAAGATGTCCCTCTCAAACCATTTAAATCCTCTCAGTAAGTAAATTGCGATCCATAGATCAAAAGTTATTCATATTACAAGCCTGTTAACCAGACTTGATAGACTATTGAAAAAAATCCAATTAGGATTTTAAGCCTGTTTCGAGAAATTATTTATATTTTAGTCAATGGGAGTTGGAAAGCTTTTCTCGGTTCAACCGAACCCAACTGCTTAATGGGTTAGTGATAATAGGATGGGTTAAACGGGTTATAAGTATTCTTTTAATCCTTTTTCCTTAATTTTCACTTACTGGTGGTAGATATTTACTCTATTCGGGAATATTTTTTAAATCATGCAAAATGAAAGGTTGCCATCCAATCACAATTTAAGATCAAAACATGCAATATTTTTGACTCGTTTTTCATTTTTTTTTCTGAAAAAAAATTATACCAACACAGTTCTGTAATTTGCATTCTTCAAAAAGCAGTTTAGTGTCTGTTTTATGGTTTTTAATTAATATATTTGCTTTGCATAATTTACGTAAAAATAAAAACCTTTTAACGTTCCACAATTGGTTTTCATTACTTTAAGCAACTATAAAATGACGTGTTAAACAATCTGAAAATAGACAGATGTGTAGTTTTAAATTGCTCAGAACCGCAAATAAAACTATAAAAAAATCCATAGATTTACATTAAAAATAAAACCTTTAGAAACTAACATCTGAAAATAATCAAGTCCTATTTCTCCTTATCCAATAAGGAGACATTTTTATTTTCTATGTGATATAATTGTGTTGAATGACTCTCTCATCAAAAATTTATTAAGAACATGAAAATAAGTAGATAAAAATGAAAAACAAAGATTTAACCTTAAATCAAAGATCAAAGCCTCAAAAATAGTAAGCAAAAATAATCTCTATAATTCTTTTTCATTTTTTATAGTTTGACCTGGTAAAAATTGTACAAAAAATAGTTGTGACGTTTTTGACAACAAAAAAAAGAAAGAAAAGAGAAATGCAATTCAATTTTCTTTCTGCTTATAAAGTTTTCATTATTTAACTCTGCAATTTATTTAATTTTATTACGATGAAATTCCACCTTTAGAAACTGAAGTTTGTCGTTATTTATATACTAAACTAAATTTTTCTTCACATCGAAGACAGTCCATATCGAACTTTTATTGTAGCTTGTCGGTTGGTTGGCCCATTAGCACAAGAGCCAGAAATGACTATACTGCGCCAGTCACTAGGTTAAAATCTAGGTCAAACTGATAAATTTTTTCTTAAAGTAAAGAATAAAGTCCTATAGTCTTGAAAAACCTTAAAAGGTGATGGATAAAAGCTGACAAAAATTTTGTTCCTCAAATGTTTGAATCGTTCGCAGCTGGCTAAAATATGTTTAATAGTAATATCAACACTACATAGAGAACAATTAAGTGCAGGTTCAGATTTAAGTACATGCACCTGGGAAAAACTGGAGTGACCAATACGTCTATTGATTACAATCAGTCTATTGATTACAACCAGGGTCTTATTGTAACAATGACGACAATACTTTAAAAAGCCATTTCGAAAAGCAATCAATAAATTTCAAATTCAAACATTTCTTAAAGGAAACTTTGCACATCGTTTATTATATTTATTCACCCTGATGAAAAATAAGAGTTTGATTCAGTTGTTAAGTCAGTAAAAACAATGGTTTTAAAGGAATGAGGAAAATATATGTTCTTGATACTTTGTTATTATTTTCAAGTTGATTAAGGAAAAAACAAATTACTCAATAGCCTTACATCTTCTTATAATTGCAATGAATTGTAACGTTCTCATATAGATTTAATGAAGGTTCTTATATCGATACCATCACTAAAAATTAGAGAATCAAGAAGTTTATTCGGAGAATAATACTAAATGTTGTAATTGCTTTATGGCTTTTTAATCCTCTTTTTTTTATGTGGTCTAATGTCTTTTGAGCTCAGTAGTGTCTCAAGTCTAAACGCAGTCATAAATTCATTTCTTTGAATATCGTTTCGTTCATAAGTGCATTAAAACTATGAGGAATGTTCTTTTATTGATTTTGTTATGTGTTTTGATAGCAGCTAATTCAATCGAAATTAATCAGAAATTTGGTGAGGATGGTGATAAGGAAATTACTTGGGAAAAGTTTATGAAAAAAGCTTTGTGGTCAATGAATACAATTGCAGAATGAATACAACCGTCTATGAATTCTTCATTAACATTTAGAAATATCAATGAGTCATGCGTTAATAGTTTATTATTGTATTTTGAAGGAATAAAAATGTGGGAGCCTTGGGCGATCAAAAGTAAGCATATGTTCTTGTTCTCTATGCAAATATATATGTATTCTCAATTCAAAGCGTTAAGTGTTAAAATAAAGATATTTTAATGCTTACTGTTAGAATAATAAAATCAAATAAATTTAAAACCTACATTTTTCAAGCAAGCTTTTTCTAAATATCTTTCGAACATTAAAATGTGACTTATCTATTGCTACCATTTCTTAAAGATATAGTAGAGTAATTGTTTGATTTAAACAATTGGAATTAAGAGTATAAAAATTTAGAGCATGCAAGCTATTCAAAAATAAAATTTACATTGACTTAATTAATATCATAAATGCTTAAAATGGCAGATTTGATTGGAAAAAATATTTTTTTTAAAAGATATATATAGAAAACTTATTAAATAATTTATGCTTATTCTTCTAACATGAAAGAATGGCTGTAAAATTTCATAATTTACTCTTCTTCGAATCTTCATTGATTCTTACGAATCTTCATTGTGAATTAAATTTAAACTTAATTATTAAAATTTTAGCTTATAGTTTAGATCTGTTCAGTGCTTCAACATTTTGGAACTGCCCAAGGAAAAAATAATTTTATTTTTGCCAGATTTAAAACGTAACAAACACTTATAAAAACCGAAAAACTTCCTTTCTTATGTTTTTTATGCTGATGCAACCCTCGTTTTTCGTTTTACGTAAAAATAATATAAAGTTATTAATTGACCATTCGAATAAAGTTAAAAACTTTATTCGAATCAAAAATATACAAATTGGGAAAATGCAGACGACTTGTCTCGAACGCTCAAAAATAGGCGACCATTTTCAAACAAAAGTGATTTGGAATGTAAATCTCAAAGTTGCCAATGAAAAATGGAAAAATAAAGGAGAGAAACAAATCAAGAAAAACCACAGTAGCTGAGAGAACAAGTCAGGGTAAAATATTTTACCATGTAGTATGGAAAGAGGGTGAAGAACGACTGTTATTTTTTCAATTTGTATAATTTTAAAGCTAATGAAGTTTTTTAGTTAAGCATTATCTAACCGCTTCAGTTTCTTGGAATCATTTATTCAATATAAAGTTATTTTTTCCGCATTAATCTACTTAAAAAACATAGTTTTTTAAACTATTATTTAACTTTTGTACCTGATAGTGGTAGATGCAACTGGTAGAATTCCTAGCGGCCTAATGACTGGTACAATGACAGACTTTGGAAATTTTGACGAATGTTTGCAAGTGAGATATAATTCCGAATCCGAAAATTTCCAAGGAAAGTTTTGTATGATAGGATTTAAAATTCCTCTGGTCCAGCCCCCCAATGGAAAAACAACGAGTGGAGAATCCTACTTAGATGCTTATGGGAGCCCACCGGAATGGGTAAGTTTTTCTTAGTAAAAATAATTATACATTGATTATTTAAATTACAATAGTTATCTTACAATGAGTTTCATTAGAAATATTATTATCTTTATTACAGAAATAACTATCTTTAAAGCAATAATTGTCTTCAAACAATAATTATCTTTATTTTAGTAATAATCATCTTTAAAACAATTACTCCCTTTAAGCAATTATATTTTTTGTTACAATAATTATTTTTGTAACAATAGTTATGTTCAAACAATAATTATCTTGTTTTCAGCAGTAATCAGCTTTTAAACAGTACTCATTTCTGTTACAAAAATTATCTTTCTAATAACAGTTGTCTTTAAATTATCCTTGAAACAATAATTATATTTAAAACAATATCTTTAAAAGCAATAATTATTTGTATAACAACTGGGTAGCTTGGCGGAGGAACGTACCAAGTGATTTTCTGAAAAAAGTCACTTTTGAATTAAATGCAACGTTATTTTTAAGCATTATAAGTAAAACTTAGATTTATTCTCTGCCTAGTCATTAGATAAAATGACTTTTAAATTGAATGGTATTCTGTAATCCCTGCCATATGTGACTGTTAAAACATGGATTCACAATGTTCTTTAATTTAGATAACTTGCATATTCATCACGTATTTAATCGAATATATTTTTTTATATTTCCGATACACAGAATATTATTGCATTTTATGTAATAAATAATGTTAAAAGCTCCACCTCCTATATTAAACAATATCAAAATGGATTATTGAACAACACGATGCTTATCCCTGCATTAATTAGGAGTTTGTGTTTGAAAAAAAAAATTTTTTTAAATACGTAAAAAACAATTTTTCCGAATTATATTATGTTATGTTTTCTTCACTTCGTAATCAGGATTCTTTTTGTTATTAGGAAAAAAGATTTCACAGTATAAAAAATTCATTAATTTGAATGGTAAAAGTCAGAATAAAAAAATATGGACAATGAATATTCGTAATAAAAATAATTCTCTTCATGCACTTTTTAAAATACCGCTTGGGAACCCACTGGAATGGGTAAGTTTTTCATAATAAAAATAATTATGCATTAATTATTTGAATTACAATAGTTATCTTACAATAAGTTTCATTGAAAATACACTGGTGGACAAAATTAAGAGATGGAAAGCATTTTCGCACATTCATTCGCACATGCAAGATACCCACACACCACTCCATGTGTTTGCCAATGGTTCCGTGAATGCCCAGAGTCACAGGCAGGAGGTCCTGAACCCTATGTGCGTCTTTTCAGGGGCGCTGTTGGCCTTGAGTTCATTTTTATGAACGACAATGCGCGACCATATTGGGCTCTCATGGTTGATGAGTATCTGGAAAGCGAGGATATTCAACGAATGGATTGGCCAGCCAAATCCCCTGATCTGAATCCTATTGAACATGCTTAGGATGCTGTTGGGAGAGCTATTGCGATGCGCCAACCTCCCCCCAGAACCATTCTGGAGTTAAAAATTGCTCTGGTGGAAGAATGGGAGGGTCTTCCACAAGTCCTCCTTAACTCCCTTATTAACAGCATGCATACTCATTGTGCATGCTGTCTGTCTGTCAGGGGTGACCATACGCCATACTAGAGGCAACACACACTGTACAAGCCTCACTTTTATTGTCATCTTTTATCCTTAAGTTCAGACTACATTGGATTTATTGGCAATAGGTCTTGCCAGTGAATGGCACTTTCATTTTTGCTTTGCATACTTTATTATCATGGAATAAGCTATATCCATACCAAATTTCATTTATTTATATTGAGTATTTTTTGAGATATTTGGGAAAATGTCTTCCATCTCTTAATTTTGTCCACCAGTGTATTATATTTATTACAGAAATAATTATCTTTAAAGTAATAAAGGCCTTCAAACAATAATTATCTTTATTTCAGTAATAATTATCTTTAAAACAATAACTGACTTGAAACAATAATCTTTTTTGTTACAATAATAATTTTTGTAACAATAGTTATCTTCAAACAATACCGTTTTCGCGGAAAAGGATAGGCTGCACTATATGCATACACATCTGCTACTCAAAGGCACAAAAGAAAAAAAAATCTTTTTCCTATGTGAGAGCAGATGTCTGCCATTATTTCAATCTAAACAGAGTATATTAAAATAAATGACACATTTGCATATAATTTGCATGTGATTTTTTTCCTTCATTTTTAATGATGTCTTGCGAGCAATTGTTATCTGGAACACACGCACATATTTCTTTTGTCCTGTTTGATAATTATGAAATATTTTTGTTCCAAATCTACATATTTATTTCTCTTACGTCTCATCAAAAATGCTGGTATATCTCTAACCAAATTGACGACGAAATAATCATCTGTATTATTTTTTCTTGTTTGGTTGTCTCAAGTAATAATTTAAGTAGTCTTAAATGATTATTTAGTTATCGTTAAGTATTTGCTTATACTCATTTTGTTAGATAGTCTTAAATAATAGTTTAAGTAAATAGTTAGTTATGCATTAAGTATTTATTTTATATACTAGTGCTGTACTTTTATAGAAATAAAAATTTTGCTGCGAAGTAATATATCTTTTACTAAACTAAACTCAGCGGCGCGACAGCCCATGAGGGCCAAGGCCAACTGTGCCCATCTCAGTTTTCTTGACCTTGGGCTCTGGGGTGCAGGAGCAGATGTTCCGGTCTGGCGGTCAACCGAACGCGGAACCCCTAGTGTTTAGTTCCCAAGCATGCTTGGTACTCATTTATCGACCCACTGAAGGGATGAAAGGCTGAGTCAACCTTTGGCCTGCCCGAGGATCGAACCAGGGACCTGTGGCACGACAGAGCGAAGCGCTACCGCTCAGCCACCGGGCGTCAAATATATCTTTTAGTTATATCTATTATTTTATGCCTTGTTTACAATGTCAGTCAAAGGATCTGCTATTTAAGAGTTGTTAAAGCTACGAGAACGACAGTGAAAAATCGTTCGTCTGCTGGAAACACAATCGTTATAACAGAAAAGTTGGGACTGTAAAGCAGTCGCATCAGTGGTTGATTAAATTTGAAAATTTCAATAAACATTACTCTTATTGTTACAATTCACTCTTATTATTGCAGTGAAACCTTCAGGAAAGCCCGCTTCTGTGTAACGATCTTCTTTATTTGCTACCACTTTTTTTCATAGACTTCGTGTTGAAGAAAACCTTTAGAAGAGACAATCAAAACCTCTTCCAGCGACCAAGGCTCTGCACCAAATGCAGATCAGGTCAAATAAGAAAAGACGAAAAAATATCAAAACAAAATAGCATCTCTTTGTAAGGATCTCTGAAAGAGATCTGCAACCTCATGTTACAGTCAGAGTGCACTAACGACGATGCTATCAATGATTTATTTTTAGAGTTGAACGTTAAATTTAAAAAGAAAAAAATATTTTAGGAAAAATGTAAGCATCTCAAACAAACAAACCTCTTCTCGTCTTTTGAAGCTAACTAATTTTTATGATATATAATTAAATGGAAACTCAGGGCTCGAAAAACAGCCCGTCCGCCCGTCCTCGGCGATCAAAAATTCCCCGCGGACAATAAATTTCTAGAATCCGACGTCCGCGCAGACGGCCATTTTCCCGTTAATGTTCGTGATACATTTCCAATTTTTGTTATCTTACAAGAGTCTAGCGCCTCACTTCTAAAATGACCCTCTAATCTAGAAATACAGCAACATACTGCTCATGGTGGAATTGATGTTTTCTCTGTCTGGGAGTACTGCAGCGGTTGAAAGAGGCTTTTTAGCAATGAACTTACAAAAAGACACATTACGTACTGGTCTTAAACAAGAAGCGCTTAGCTCAGTTATGAACATCTACCTAAATGGAAAACCCCTTTCAGATTTCTATGCAGAAACCTCTGTAAATCATTGGCTTGATTGTGGAACTGGCAAAGGTCATATTTGATTCATTTCAAAAACGCAGTACCCTCGGATAAATTGACATTCCAGATAACTTGACCCTTGTCATTTAAATTATTTCATAAAGGAAATACTAGGTTACTATTAGTAACCTAGTATATACTATATAATGTAATGCGTATTACTGCATAATGTAATCCTAGTATTTGTAATCCTAGTAACTACTAATTCATTGTGCAATTTATGTAAATGTTTGTAATAAATAAGAGAAATTATATTTTTATTTATTTAGAAGTGACGGGTTAGTTTCAAAGGAGGGCGGGTACATTGTTGGACAAGCCGTCCTCGGGGACGGGTAAAATTTCTGGGTTTTTTCGAGCCCTGCTGGAAACTTAAACAAAAATTATAATTGTTTATTTATTCAAAATATTTTAATCATTCATAATTGGTAAATTTGTTTTTTATCATAATTATATCATTTTTATTAACGCTGCATTTGATTAATAGATCTGGTTTTCATGACTCCAACTTAGTGGTATTTCGGCACCAAAAAAATTGAAACTAGCGAGAATTAAAATCATTTGCGAAAAATCATGTACCTTCAATTACATTTTTAAGTCAATGGAGTTAACCCCTAAAAATGACCAACCTCCATTATCGACCATTTTACTGAGGAACAGAGAGAGATCACTCTCGATGAGTTTTCACTGTGTTTTTTATTGTTTTTTTCCTTAATTTCTAGAGAGAAGTATTAAGAATATTATTTTTTGAAGAATTACTTACGTTAATTTTACGGTCTTCAAAACTTTATTCCGTGCGCGTGAAATAATTTACTATTCATTATTTTAAGTCGTATTACAGTGAGTGAAAAAAATCTTTACATTTGTAGTTATATTGAACTTATCACGTTTTATTTTACTTGAAAGAAAATTAAATAGCGTAAGTGTGTGTGACGTTTCTCTTAAATGATCTCTTCTTATTGGGTACAATCTCGGATATCCGTAAGCTATCCACTTAGGATATTTGAAAAGGATATTCGTTTGTCTTCTGGGATGTAGCAAGTGATCGGTAACTTTATAGAATTCGGTGTGACGTAATTAAAACAGGGAACAGCTGGTGTTCTAAAGTTAAGGGACTGAAAACGTTTAGTGAATTTATTTCCATTACAAAAGCAATTCAGTTATATACGTTAATTTATAAAATATAATAAAATAACAAGCCTTTAATTTCACACAAATCTGCAATCACTGCAATATAATGAATATGAATTAGAACAAGTCGTATCTCAATTTAAATATTTAAGCACAATAGTAAATAATAATATCGAAACGTAAGTGGAAATCAAAAATAAAATCAACATGGCTAGCAGATGTTAACATGAATTGAGAAACCAGTTCAAATCAAAATACGCAAGTTGTGAAACAAAAATGCAGTTATACGAGACAATAGTGAGATCAATAGCTTTGTATGACAGTGAATGCTGGGAAATTAACAAAGAATTGATGACTTTCGAGAGGAAAATATTAAGAAAATTTTTTGGTGCAGTAAGAGAATACGGAGCCTGGAGAATTCGTTGCAACCATGAATTACAATCAAAATACAAAGAGCCTAACATAGTAAAAATGATCAAGGTCTCTCAAATAAGGTTAATGGGACATATACTTCAATATAGCGATGAAAATTCAGTTAAAAGATGACCTTCTAAACTCCAGAAGGAAAAAGAAAAAGAGGAAGACCTGGAACAAGATGGTTAGATAGAGCAGAGAAGTCTCTAAATGGAGTTAACAGATGGAACAATAATTTGGAAAGAAAGTATCGTTTCGTTCATGTTTTTGTAGTGTTGTGCAACTATTTATGAGCAGAAGTATGAAGTTGAAAAATAGTAAATTTCTGCATTTTTAACTTATAATTCCTATTATGCCCTATTTACCCCACTTATTTCTGTTTCAGAAATACTAATTATTCCAATCTGTTATAGATATCTGAATTTATGAGAGAAAAACGAGGTTTTGTAGCGCATTTCCGTTTATTTTTTGGATCTTGTTTACCATCTTCTTGCAGTGATCAGGACATTCATAATCTAGTCTCAAAAGGTATAAAACAGTTTTCTTCTTATATTATGTGGGCATTGAAATACATTTCTTTGTTTTAATTATAGTTTAAAGATGAAATTAACTTGCAAATTATCGCGACCTATATAAAAATACTTAAAACTTATGTAACAGTTACACGATATCGAACAATTATGTAACTGCAACTTACATATAATTACATACAACTTATCTTTAGTTATACTTACTATATTATTAATCGTTAGGCTTTATATAATTATTAGATAAATTGTAAGACTTTTCTTAATTATTTACAACTTTTCTGCAATTAACTACAATTTACCTATAGTTATACTTAGAATTTATGCAATAATTATAAAACACCTGACAATTAACAATCATATACTTAACGCTTGTCTAATAACTAAAAATGTATAGAAATGTGAAATTTCAGTTATATTCAAAATTTAAGAACTTCATCAGTCATTATTTCACTTGTAAATTTTTTATCCATTAAAAAAATGATAGCCTACGGAGTCTGTTTTTTTATCGACTTTTGCAACTCAATGCCTTTGGTTAATTTTCATTCCGAGGACATAAAATGTTCTCGGTGGTAAAAGGATCATGTTTTAGAGTCCCCTTGCCGCCAGGCTAACCTTGTGAGAATTTCGTAGTTTTCCTCTCAATGTAACGCAAATACGAGTTAATTCCTTAAAAAAACTCTTCCACCAAGGCAAATTTCGACGAATACTTGACCCAGAAGTTCCCTTTTCTTCAGGATTGGTCTCAAAATTACAAGAAACGGGGTTGAACATTAGTAGTCGTAAAACCGAAATTTGGCCGACCGTTCAACGATGGTTATATAATATAAAATATTGTCCTAGAATAGCTTATATAGGGACTTTATTGACGAAATAATAAATATAAAATGTCGAGTGAAACTGAAAATTCTATGTAGGTTCGATATCGGTTGTTAAGCAGCTGTAAAATATAGGGTGAGACCGACAATTCTACATAAAACTAATTTCGGAAAAATGAATCCTTATTTAGCCAAAAGATTCGTGAGTATTGTTCTGATGAGGACCCAAGTTATTCTTCTGCTATGAGTGGTATAAATCACATCACAATAATGAATTTGGCGAACGAATCTGAGTTTTGATTGTTTAGACGCATTTCATCTTGCATAAAAATGACGTTTTTTGTTGTCCAATAACTGCCTATTGCTCGGTAGAGGAAAAATATCAACAGAAGTGCAATTTCGATTAATGGAGAAATCCTTAATGAGAAATTTTCTAAGATTATTTTGTTTTGCTTCTTTAAAACAAGTTGCGAAATCAGACACTCATTTTGATGCAGAGTATAGCATATAAGGAAACAATCCGCGAAAATTTTAGCGAGAAGATATTATTGTTCAGGTGAAATTTCATCAAATTCTACTCAATCGCTAGATAACTGCGAATATGTGTGCGACGTTTTCAGATTTTCGCCATGTAGTGGTAATTGTGATGCAACTATATATGCAAAAGATTTGTTCATTTCCCCCGTGCATCGTGGAATATCGTTGATGAACTTTATTGTTTGGGTATGGTTCAAACTACATGTTTCAAAAACTAAGCATAACTTATAATGTGGGTTTCAAAAAATGAGTTTAAGCGCAAAATACTTATTTAAACAATGGACATACAGTCGGACCTCTATTTAACGAAGTCTCTTAATCCCGATAGTAGGTCCGTTACATAGAAAATTCGCTAAATAGAAAGTCACCTTTTGAAATACTTAAACGACACAAAACAGTTTTTAAATCCATAAACTAGACATAATTAAAATAGCAATTAATACACCTTTATGTTGCAAAGTATTATCTACTATACATTTTAAAAATCTTAACCATAAAAGAAATCTGCATGGAAAGCAAGAATAGAGCAAAACATTATACAGTGTTACACTATCATGATACATACATTTTAAACTAAAAGAAACTAAATTTATGCATAAAATTATATCTGCATTTATTATAAAATTAATTTTAAACATGCATTACAACAAGTTTAATTGCTACTGATAAAATCCGTTAAATTTGTCTGAGTTTTTCGTTTGATATGCAAAGATATAGGGAAAGGGATCTAACTGCTTTCTCTAAAAGTTAAGAGGCTTCAAAAATCTATTCAAGGGCATTTCCCTCATAAAATGAGTTAACATGTTCAAAATGCTCTGAAATTTTATTGAAATAGGGAAAGTGGATCTCAAAGAAAAGTTCGTTAAATAGAAAATTCACTTCGCTATTTGGAAGTAATTTCACGAAGAAATTTCCAAAATGTTCTTGGTTTCTCGAAAAAATTCTCAAAATAGAGAAATTCGTAAAAGGGAAGTTCGTTAAATAGAGGTCTGACTGTAGTTTGTAATGCGTATTTGAAAATTGTATATGACTAAAAAACCGCGTTTAGGAAAATGCATTGCATATGAATCCGTTTATAAACAACGATTATGACTATAGAATTTTAACAATGTTAATTTGGTTTGTTTTTATTTCATAACTAGTGTTGAAGGGCTGATCCAATTCTGAGTTTACGACTATAGTCTGACTGTAGCATATATCAATGTCTTTAGCCTTGTAATTTCAAACCTGACCCTAAAGACAAAGGATCTCTTAGATCAAGCTAGGACAAACTAACCTTCGTGGAGGGCATTTTAATGGAAGTAATCTGCATTTGCGCCACATGAAGGAAAACCATGAAAACCTCCCACGGTTAGCCAGACAGCTTGGAAATTCTAACCCATGATCCATTTACCGCTGAGAATATTTTACGCCAGCACTGTGGTCGGTGCGAGCCGTGAGCAGAATTCGTTTCAGACATCAATCATTTGGACTCGAATCTGGGTTATTTCACAACTTGACATGGGCCCTATCTCCTTAGTCACAATTGCTCAGTTTAATATGATTGCTATCAGGGCTAAAGAGAATAGAAGGGCTGGTTCACTCCTTCTCTCGCCTCTCTCTCGCCAGTATCTCTCGCCGCGCCGATCCTCCGACGTCACTCTAGTGACGTCACTTTGGCGCAAAGCTCGCACTTTTACTTCAAGAACGGAGCGTTTGGCTTTACTAGCTCTAACTAATATTGGATCATTTCTTTTTGCGAGATATTCTAAGACATTTGTTATTTGCTATAATGACTTTCCTCAGTTTTTGCAGTGAATTTACAAGAATTTAAAACTATTATCGAAATGCCAGTTTGCGCGATTGCAACTTGCAAAAATTCTGATATAAAAACAAAAGGAAAAAGTATAATTTTTCGCGTGTTCCCTAAAGTAAATGAACAACTATGTAAAGAATGGATTCCGAAATGACACAGTTAATATAAAACAGCAATACGTTTATTCTGTCGTAAAGAACTTTTATAAAAATTCATTATCTAAATAGAAACCGCCTCGCTACTTCATAAAGAAAGGCAGGTGAAAAGAATTAAAAAATAGATAAAGTCAAAGAAAATTAAAATGTAAGTAAAAAGTATAAATAAAATATATAGTATATAGTTGAAATTCTCCTAATTTCATAACATATTTTTTAATGTAGTTATTCTAAATATTTATGATTTTTTTTAAAAATTATATTCTCTTCAATTTAAATATCTATAAATTATATCATCGTAAATTTAAATGTCTATAAACAATTGTAAAATTTCTAATGTCATTATGAACCTAAATTATTATTTTGTTTCAGTAATTAGCGTTTAAGGTTGATGTTTCCTAATGATTAAGTATGAACAAATTGCTATTAACGACATATTTTAAAATCAGGGATTCTAAATTTAACTTAACTTATCGTTATAAAAGAATATGTAGATAAAAAAAGTGTCGATATATGCCTTCATTTTTCTTAATAGTTAAAGTTAAAACTGAACTTTTTAAAATAAAGTATTTATCGTGTCATTTTCACCAACTAGCAAAACATTTTTATAAGTTTAAAATGGTATTTTTTTAATATAATAACCAAGAAAGTTTTTTTTGAACTATGTTTATGAACGGAAATAATGTGTTAATTACGTAAAGTTTGAAGGCTAATAACCAGAAAAAGTATAACTTATTTTTACAAAGAGAAAGATGCAAAGTTATCATATCTTTGCTTGCGATCTCCGAGATCTGTGGACACAGTGACATCATGAGGAGGGAAATCGTAGCTTCAGCTCTCAGAGCGGAGTGAACTTGCCCTTCTATTCTCTTTAGCCCTGGATTGCTATAACGTCACATTAGAGGTACACTAATGGGCTATTGGTGACGGTTTAGGATTCATCTTTAATGATAGACCCTATGACGCATACGCACATTACGCTATCATAAATAGAAAAAAGGACAAATGATAGTAATCATCCACCTCTAGACCATACTCCCCATTAACCAGACCATGAGCGAGCTTTTCCTGCCCTAAAACTACTTAGAACAATACTCTATAAAATAGATTCGGAAACAGATCTACTGTGACTCAATCGGAGAAATAACAGTCCGAGCATTGCTCTGACTGTCACAATGTTAATAAACTATCTCGAGTTACATTAAAAATAGTTTGGAGTAGCCGTCTAGTATGCAAAATAATAAATGAAAAAAATTCTGAGTACAAGAGAGGGATATATTTAAACCTTTTTGGTGGTTTACTTTTGAACAGTCTGGCCCGGAAATACCCCGGGCACGAGAAATAGAGACAAAAGCTCACCCCGTGATTTCGAAGGGAGCGAGAGGGAAAGAGTTAAGACAATATTGTTGAGAGCTCAAATAAATCTTGTTAGGCTCTATTAAGCCTTACCTATTGAAATGCAGTGCTATAAGCGAAAGGAGAGAGCACGCCGCACTTCACTATACTCAATACTCAAAATATTGTTCACGAGTTTTAAATATCAATAATATTGCATTATGCTGTATAACTTTAGTTTTAGATAAACATTGAACTTAGCAGCGTGCAGAATATAGTAGTAAATTCATATTTATGTATGTTCTAGTCACGGAACCCTGGACTTCAAATATTGTGGTGTCAGACTGTCAAACAGATCAACCAAGAGAGTGGACTACTTCTGGTATCATTGCGCTGTAAGTTGTACCTCGTAAACAAAATAATATTTTTCCATTATATTATACGCATTATTATTATAGAAATTCTTAGACGATTTTCTTAATGTCGTAACACGGCATTAATAATTGTCGTAATTATTAATGCCTATAATTTCGGGATCTTGTGCTTTGGGTCCGCGAATTGCCTTGTGCCCTCGCGCCGTGCGGGGTTCCTCGTCGCGGCTATTTTTGTCTGATGGGCCTCATGGCTTGGGTAGAGGTATTAATATCCTTAATTTCAATGTAATGTTCCATATGTAGTTTCGCTAAACCTTTCACGCATTAACTTATGCGTTATTACTCTTTGTATTCATTCGATTCTAAAACGATTGCATTTGAAATAACTTTCTGTTGTGGTGCGTTAAGTTTCACGACATTAAGTATATTAGATTACTTTTAATAAGTATGTGACCATATACGTATTTAAAAAAATAAGTCTTATAAGCTACCAATTGTTCATCTTAACTGTGTTTCTTTTATAATTTTTTTATAAATAAAAATTTATTCGATATCTTTCCGCAGTCTTTGAATGCTCATTAAAAAATAACAAAGCGAATGGGGGTTTTTTTTTTTGAAAAAATATTATTGATTAAATTTTATTCTTGATTCTTTCACTTGCATTTGGTTTTCCATTTATTTAAAATGACCATAGGACTTCTGCGTTTCAGCATTTTATTCCACAGTGATCATACCAGCAGATCAATAATTTTGTGTTACTTCAGATTTAAAAAAATAATGAATAAAAAAAAATAGATGAAACACACTATAATACCCTCCAAGAGTTGAAAAATGCAATTTACATGAAAAATACAATTACATGAAAAATATAATTTTCAGTGACAGAAAACTAAAGCCAAAACTACTATAAAAAATTGAATAGAACGGAAAAGCACTTTCACCATTTATATATTTTTTTAGTTATTTATGTATAGTTGTGGACAAAACTCTTTCGATTCTAATTCGCATTAGAAAAAATATTTTCTAAAGCAACCAAAATTCTGTTTTAGTTGTTAAATCTCTATTTTTTTCTTCTTTTCTAAAATTGCAGAACAAAACATAGTAAAAATTTACTGTTTTTTACGAAATGAAAATGATAGCGGAAACCTCTAATCCAAAAATTACTTCAAGTAATTAAATCTGCTATAACACTATATTTAAACACAGAATAAACAAATTTTAATGCACTATTCACAAGCGTATAGTAACAATACTCTTTTCCCTTTATTATAGAACTGTTACACTTCTATAAGTTTGTTATTTTTCATTATTTAAGGTGCATTTTGATGGCATTATTTGGTACTTGCATTTTGGGAACTGCTTTGGATTCACATGACAAAAACAGAATGGCTGTATCCAAATATTCCACACCAACTAAAGAGTGTAAACATGCTTTTATTTTTATTTTATTATCGTTTCTTCAAATTATTTAAAATATATTTCGTTAGATTGTACTATATTCCATTCTTGCACACCACTTGAAATCAATAAATCCACAAATTATAATGACTTTTAATTATATTTTTTACGCTTTATTTGTTTAAAAAAATTATTAAAGTTTGTTAACAAAAGACATGCATAGTACGTGTAAAAATACACTCTGTAACAAAAAAATCGACGCTCCAAGAAGGAATTGTCTGATTGAAACAAAAATTGGTGGATAGGAAGACAATGTACAGAATAGTAAATGATTAAAATTTCAGAACAATTGAATAATTTATTGCAGAGTTACAATAACAAGTTCAATAAGGTGTTGACCCGTCTCTAGCCTGGATACAAGCTGCCACACGGCGTGGCATAGACCCATAAATCTCCCGGATGGTCTCTTGCGGTATTTCCTGCAAAATTCGATCCAATTGTCGAGCGAGGTCATCAACATTCCGTGCCAGATGCAATCTCCTTCCCATCATATCCCAGACATGCTCGATGGGAGAGAGATCTGGTGATCTGGCAGGCCAAGGAAGAGTTTGGCAAGCTTGCAGACAGTTCGTAGCAACACGTGCCATATGTGGTCTGGCATTGTCCTGCTGAAAAACCAGCCCAGGGCGCTGCAAAAGGAACGGTAGCAAAACAGGTCTTAGGATGTCGTCGACGTACCGCCGTGCAGTAAGTGTACCTCTAATGACGACCAAAGGGCTTCGGCTGTCAAAGGAAATGGCACCCCAGACCATAATGCCTTGTTGAGGGCCGATGTGGCGTGCAATAGTGAAGGCAGGATC